ACGCTACCACACCTTGCTAAGTTTCATATATATATATATATATATATATATATATATTTAGTAGAGTTTCTCCTTGTTGGTCAGGCTGGTCTTGAACTCCTGACCTCAGGTGATCTGCCTGCCTTGGCCTCCTAAAGTGCTGTCAGGAGTTTGAGACCAGCCTGGCCAACATGGTGAAATCCCATCTCTACTAAAAACATAAAAATTAGCCAGACATGGTGGCACACGCCTGTAATCCCAGCTATTTGGGAGGCTGAGGCAGGAGAATTTCTTGAACCTAGGAGGCAGAGGTTGCAGTGAGCTGAGATCATGTCATTGCATTCCGGCTTGGACAAGAGTGAGACTCTGTCTCAAAACTAAAAAATAATTTTAAAAAATTAAAAATTAAGTCCAGGTGCAGTGGCTCACACCTGTAATCCCAGCACTTTGTGAGGCCAAGGTGGGTGGATCACTTGCGGTCAAGAGTTTGAGACCAGCCTGACCAACATGGTGAAACTCCATCTCTACTAAAAATACAAAATTAGCCAGGAGTGATGGTGCATGCCTGTAATCCTAGCCACTTGGGACACTGAGTCAAGAGAGTATCTCGAACCTGGGAGGCGGAGGTTGCAGTGAGCGGAGATCATGCCACTGCACTCCAGTCTGGGTGACAGAGCAAAACTTTATTTCAAAAAAAATAATTAGCTGGGCATAGTGTTGCTTGCCTGTGGTCCCAGCTCTTTGGGAGGCTGATGCAGGAGGATCATTTGAATCCAGTATGTTGAGGCTGCAGCGAATCATGAAAGAAGGAGGAAGAGGAGGAGGAGGAGGAGGAAGGAGGGGGAAGAGGAAAAGGAAGGGGAGGAGGAAGGAGAAGGAGGAGGGAGAAGAAGAAGGAAGAGGAAGAAGAAGGAGGAGGAGGAGTCTGATGGGACAATGGGGTATGTACCTGAGCAGAGGAGATACGAAATGCCACCCTATTTGCATGTCACATATGTGATGCCCCATGAGCACGTAATTCCAGTGGGCCCACAATGCATGGGAGTTTAGCAAGACTCAAAGCCAGTACAAGGCTGGGGTGTTATATATGTGGTTAAATATGTAGAAATTCATCCAGCCCAGAGGGGCTACACTTCCCATTTAAACCAGAACTTACTTCAGATACTAAAAGAAGGCAGTGGTGTTCTAAGAAGCATGACAACTAAGGAACCCTATCCTATCCTTTTTCATTCAAGTTACTTCCCTGGATTAGCCAACCACCTAGGCCGACAGTAATGACCCAGAAGAAAAGTAAAAGATAGAGCAACCCATAATTCCTTTTCTTTTCAGTTCTTTTTCACTCATCAGTAAGCCAAAGGCAGGAACATTGGTAGAATGTGCACAAATCAAGACATGAGGTAAAACCATTGAGTGAGCTTTGTGCAGCATTTCTGCAGTCCTGATAAGCCTGAAATCCTGCATGTATACGAGCTATAAAATACAAATTGTGTCATTTCAGTGATTCCACATAGGAGTCAAGTACTCTTATACTTGCATTGAAACCTGGCATTGCTAAATATACAGATGAATGGAAAGATGCATGCAAATAATTTAAAATTTTGAGTTTTCTCAGAATGACATTAAATAGCAGAAAGAAAGATTTTATATTTTAGTACCTTTAACCGTTTTTCTTGCTTTCTGGACAGGGTACCCCATATTTTCACTTTCCACTGGGCCCTGCAAATTATGTAGGCTGCTCTGCTGCTTTTATTATTAACCCTCAGGGGTGAGTGAGTGAGAACTGGGGAAAAGGCAGGAGAATCCTAATAGTCATTAGAGGCTAGTGGGACAGGCATGTTATAGAACCTTTGCATTTGCTTCAGAGATATACCTTGATTCTCTGTCCAAGCAGATGGGCCAGCCTAGGGGTGCTCAGGCCTGTCCACCCTCAAGGAAATCACAGCCCAGAAGTGACCTTCACAAAAGCACTTATGGATTTAATTAATGGTCAACCCAAGTCAAAGCCACATATCCCAACTTTCAGGCCTAGGCCCAGTTGATCTGTCACAGACCTACCCAGGAGACACAAGGGCTCTGAGTTTTTTTTATTTCTCCATCTGACACTTAAGGGTGACAACACTATGCTCTCCGTGAAGAATAGAGAGGTTGGAGCAGAGTGCCCCGGGCAGGACACATATGCAATGAGGATAATAGTTTTAAGACATCCCTGTTTTCTTTTTCACACTCTCCAATATGAGACCTTCTCCCTCTTCCCTGAATCTGTATTTATCTCAGGAAGCAAGGAATTGATCTAAGTGGTGTGCAAAGAAAAAAGCAAAATACTCCGTTTTCAGCATCTGATTTCCAAACTTGGATTTTTGAACTCCATAGAAATAATTGTAGAAACCAGGGTTTGTTGTGAGAGAGAAATCTGTAAATTCCTAGATAACTCCTTCAGACATCAAGGGCTAAACCCAGCCACCAGACGGCAAAAACACATCAGCCCCTGAGGACAGCCATCTCTATTTCATTTGCTGACGAATCCCCAGAGCCAAGAACTGGTTTGACCCTAGTGGGTGCTCATTTTTATCTATGAGGAGAAAAGTGGTGTAATCCACAGTTAGACAGTCAGATACAAGGGAATCTGATAGTCCTATCTGGAGGGAATTTCTCTCTGAAGATGAAACTGTTGTAGAAATCCTCCTCTGGCAACAGAGAACAAGAAAAACAGGGCAAAGGGCTGCTGGGGGCCCTCACTCAGCAGGGGAGAGGGCTTGGGGCTCCCCCAGCAGGAACCTTGCTCACCAGTTCCTGCTCTAGGCCAGGCTGTCCTGTGGCTACACAGCTGCCCATGCTGCTCCTCACATGGATGGGGGCCCTGTCCTGGAACGGCCCTGGTGGGTAGAGGGATTCACTGCTCCAGACCTTCAGCATGGACACTAGAGAATGCAACTCCTTTGCCGCATGCCCCTGGGGCTGGGGAGGCACAGCAGGAACCAGCTGGGTCAGAGACCAAGGTGAGGAACAAAGAGAAAAGCTTCAAAGCTTGAGATGAACTGCTGCACGTGCAGTTTAGAGGTAGTTCTTTTGCCCCTTCCCTTCACCGAGGTTGCATGGGACAGGCACTCCTGCTCCTGACCCCCGAGGAAGTACATGGGCATGATCAGAGGCTGGGTCTGTCCTTGATGCCCACAGGAGACTTGCCCTGGGGCAGGCTCTTGATTCTGTTGTGTCACAAAATCCTTTGGCATCCTGGTAAAGTCCATAGACCCCTTTTCATTTTTATTTATTTATTTGAGACAGAGTCTCACTCTGTCACCGAGGCTGGAGTGCTGTGGTGCGATCTCAGCTCACCGCAACTTCTGCCTCCTGGGTCAAGCGACTCTCCTGCCTCAGCCCCCTGAGTGGCTGGGATTACAGACACATGCCACCACACTCAGACAGTTTTTGTATTTTTAGTAGAGACAAGATTTCACCATGTTGGTCAGACTGGTGTCAAACTCCTGAGCCCAGCTGATCCACCTGCCTTGGCCTCCCAAAGTGCTGGGATTACAGACGTGAGCCACCGTGCCCGGCCACAGACCCCTTTTCAGAACATAGACTTTAAATCCGTAAAACACTAGGATTACAAAGGAAACCAGCGATCCTAAACTAGGAATCAAAATCACTTTAAATATCTTTCATATAATGACAATATATGCTTCCTAATTAAATAGCAAGATCTCATGGCAGATCTATATTACAGTTTTAAAGTTGTAATAACATAAATGATATTTTGAGACATTCCCAATGGTTTAATTGGGGAATAAAATATCTATGACTTTTGCTGGGACAAAAATCACGTCTTTGCTTACATTCATGATTGAAGGAAATGCTAAATTTCACTTAAGGACAGGAAAAACAAAGATGGAATGTTTTCTCTGTCACGGTTCACAGACTCACAGAATTCCATCCACAACTCTGGGAGTTCCAAGGACCCCAGGTTAAGAACTCCACACTCTGACACCTTGTGACCACCATTCAAAAGGTCCCCCTGACACTCTGGTGATGGTGTTCTTTTCTTTTCTTTTTTCTTTCTTTCTTTCTTTTTTTTTTTTTTTTTTTTGGAAGAGTCTCACACTGTTGCCCAGGCTAGAATGCAATGGCGCCATCTCGGCTGACTGCAACCTCTGCCTCCCGGGTTCAAGCAATTCTCCTGCCTCAGCCTCTCAAGTAGCTGGGATTACAAGCACCCACCACTACACCTGGCTAATTTTTGTATTTTTAGTAGAGATGGGGTTTCACCATCTTGGCCAAGCTGGTCTCAAACTCCTGACCTTGTAATCCACGCAGCCTCCCAAAGTGCTGGGATTACAGGCGTGAGCCACCACACCCGGCCTTGGTGATGATTTTCAAAGCAGCCAAATCTGCTCTCCCTGAAGCCAGGGAAGAAAAGCTGTGGAGGGAGAGGGTGGAGGCTGAGTGGGAACATTCATCTGTGTGTGCTCAGGACTCCTGCAGCAGGATCCACAGGGCAGACTCCCGGGCCTGGCACAGACTGATTCCAACACCCAGTGCCACTCCAGGGAATCTCCATTTTATGTTTTAAAAATTATTATTATTTTTTTCTTTTTGTGGAGATGGGGTCTTGCTATGTTGCCCAGGCTGGTCTTGAACTCCTGGACTCAAGCAGTCCTCCTGCCTCTGCCTCCCTAAGTACTGAGATTACAGGCGTGAACCACCACCTGCCAGAATCTGCATTTTAAACAGAAGCCCAGGTAATAACTTAAACAAACATCGTAGCATTTCCCTGGTACTTTGTCCCAGTCAGGGAACTCAAAATGGTGGGAAAGAGCCCTGGGATGCTCCTCACACCTCCTCTGGCTAGACTGCCAGTGGTATCACTGCCGGGAGATGAGTCTGCAGCTCCTGGCCCCTCCAGGGCCCCTCATGTATAAGTGATGCCTGAAACGTGAGGCCATGCAGCCTCTTTGCAGGGAAACCTGAGCAGAGGAGTGTGCAGCCGGATTGATGGGCCAGGAACTAGCCGCTTCCCTTCACCTGTCTCTCTCAAACTTCACCCACCTCCACATTCAATCTCAAACAAACCAAGAAGCCCTGGCTGCTGTCGGGTCTAGGAGGGGAGGCCGGCCACCATGACGGCAGGAAAGCCACCCAGGCTGAAGGCGTGCACCCAAGAGCACGCTGTGTGAGCCCGTGCAGGACCCCAGCAGCATTGCTGACCATGAGCCACCAGGTAAAGGGCCTGAAAGAGGAAGGTGAGTCCATGTCCTGATCCTCTCGTGCGGGGCCCCCCACAGGGTTCCTGGGCAGCAGCAGGGGATGGGGGAAGCAGATGTGTGGTCTTAAGAGACATAGGGAGTGGCTCACACCTGTAATCCCAGCACTTTGGGAGGCCGAGGCCGGCAGATCACCAGGTCAGGAGATGGAGACCATCCTGGCTAACATGATGAAACCCCATCTCTACTAAAAATACAAAAAAAAAAAAAAATAGCCAGGCATGGTAGCCTGCACCTGTAGTCCCAGCTACTTGGGAGGCTGAGGCAGGAGAATTGCTTAAACCTGGAAAGCGGAGGTTGCAGTAAGCCAACATTGTGCCACTGCACTCCAGCCACCCCTCCCCGTGAAGAAAAAGAAAGAGGCATAGGGAGGAACTGGGTTTGAGTCCAGGGTCTACCCTCTGCTTACTGAGCGACCTCAACTGGTTCGTCAACCTCTCTGGTCCTCGTGCATGAGATGGAGGTAGCCATCACCTCCTTGCAGGGCTACTGGAAGGATTCGACCTGTGCACGGCGCCTGTGTTCAGGACAGCACTGGAGGCCGCCTTGGCCACCGCGTGTTCCTCAGAGCCTGCTGAGGCCTCTCAGCTTCCTAATTGTCTTGGTTTGGGTTGCCTGTTCTTAGCAAGCCCCTCAGCAGATTTCTATCTGTCCCTGTCTCTGTCCCGGACAAGGGATAGGGTGTATTCTGACCTCACGACTGACAGTATCCGAGAAATGTCACAGGCAGGAGACTCTATAATTTGCTGAGTAAAATCACTGGAGCTGGGTTCCAGTTTGAGGCAGCCACAAACCAGCTGAGGGGTCCCACAGTGACTGGAGGGGCTGCAGGGATGGGGACTCCCCAGAGGTCAGCCATGTGTCAGCATTCTTGTCTCTTACAGCACGAGGCAGAGTGAAAGGGCAGGCGAGGAGCGGCTCTCCACCCACAGGTGAGAAGGGGTGAGGGTCTCTGGGAAGCCCACAGTTCCTGGATGCCCTCTACCCAGCCCAGCAGTCCAGCCACCCATCCAACTTCTCTTTCATCTCCTTCCCTCTCATTTAACACACTGCATGGAGCCTTCCTGGGAGGGGGCAGAGTACCAGGCAGAGAAGGTGCCTCTCGGCCCTGGGTGTCAAGGGAGATTCCCAGGGTTAGTGACACTCTGAGCTGAACCTTGGGAAGCAGTGAACATACACCAGACAGAGGGCAGGAAAGCTCAGTGCAGGCTTCTGGTGGGTAGGTCATGTGGAGGACCTACCCTGACCTGAGTCTGGGTAGGTCCCAGACACCCAGGTCCTGGGACTCCAGGGGGAACGCTCCTAACCTCCAAAAAGTAGCAGCCACAGTGGGTGCTCCATTGAGAATGTGACCACAGCTCTCCTGTGAGCCAGTGAGGGAGCGGACTCGCTCCAGCAGAAGCAGGAAAACCCAAGGAAGCCATAGGCAGGAGAGAAAATCCTTGGTTGAGACTGAGGGTTCAGAGGAGAGGGGCAGAAGCCACACTCACGGGCTGGGCATCTTCATGTCACAAAATATGGCTGTGATGCTGTTTTCTCCCCCTTCACATCCCAGGCTGGGCTGGGTCCTGCACCCCACACTAGTAGGCACGAAACCAGAATCTTGGGGAGTGATGGAGTTCCAGGGGTTGGAAGAGATCTCCTTCCTCCTCCATTCTGGGAGGGAGGGCTCTGTCTTGGCCCCACTCTGACATGCCATCGATGGAGGAGCCGGCTCCAGGAGCCAGTTCATCTGTCCCTTCTGCCAAGCCCTTCCCCTCTGGTGACCCACTACTCCTCAGTTGCGGGGAGCCTGAGCCTCAGTGAGGCAGCCCTGTGATGAGGGGAGAGTCCCAGGAGCGGGACGCAGTGAGGAGCTGGGCAGAGGCAGGAGATGCAGCCATGGCATCTCAACAGCCCTTCCTGGCCGCCACCCGGGAACTTCCATCAGCCACTGTCCCTTCTTCCCACCCACTTGCCTGCCTCATCCACTCTTTATCTCAATCCAAAGATGTGGGAGCAAATGTGAGAAATGCCCAGAGTGGCTAAATGAGAAACCTTCCTCCCGGGGGTCAGGCTGCAGTGCTCCCATGGTGACCGCTGCCTCGGGGTGGACGGATGAGAAATCCTCCTGGGGGGTCGGGCCGTGGTGCTCCCGTGGTGACTGCTGCCTGTTAGATGCTGGGACGGGTTCTCCACACTCCACTCCCCTCATTTTCATCCAGATAGATACCCTCCCTTCTGCCCCCATCCTGGCCTTCCTCTTCCTCAGCTGCTGTGCTATGCCTTGTGGGACTCCCCTGTGGGCAGGAGTCCTTGAGTGGGACTGAAATGGAAGATCATTTTGCCTAAAACACAAACCCTTTCCTACTGAAATATTCCACATCGCCTCTGCCATTTTCTCTTTCCTGTAGAACATAGGAAATTGATCAGAATGGTCACGGTCAGAGATCTAAATGGTGAAGGGAGCAGTAAAGTTGAATACTGGGAATATACTAAATGAACTGAAACCCGGCCCTGTGAAGGTTTCCATTTAAAATCTCCTCTGCAGTCACCTGCCAGGGAATCTGATATCCTTGTTTTTCAGTTTATTCTCTACCAGGAAGGGAAAAAAAAGTTTAAGAATACAATGTTCTTTTCTCAAAATAGCTACAGTTTGTTACTGTGTTCTTTGAAAAGAAGGATGAGAACTCTCCCTCCTCCTGTATCGTTTGGTAAATGCACTGAACTGTTGAGATCACTGGATCGGAGGGCGGCCCCAGCTTTTCCCGGGCCTGTGTTTGGCACTGTGAATTCTCTAAGAGAGTCAGGTGCTACATGGGAGGCGGCCTGTTACATGGGAAGAGAGTGTGTGCTGGGCTTGGAGGTCTTCCTAGCAAGATAGCTGCCTTTCCAGCTCCTAAATTATGCATTATGTGGAGTGTGTTGAAAACTGATTATGAAAGAGGAAAAAGCAGCTTATTTTCTGTGTAGAAGAGGTCTGGGGAAGATTGAAGGGCACATTCTGCCTTGTTTTCCACATTCCATGTGAATATATATATATACTTTTTTTTTTTTTTTTTTTTGAGATGGAGTCTCTTTCTGTCACCCAGGCTGGAGTGCAGTGGTGGGGTGATCTTGGCTCACTGCAACCTCCACCTCCCAGGTTCAAGTGATTCTCCTGCCTCAGCCTCCCAGAGTAGATGGGACTACAGGCGCGTGCCACCATGCCCGGCTAATTTTCGTATTTTTAGTGGTCTCACTGTATTGGTCAGGGTGGTCTTGAACCCCTGACCTCATGATCTGCTCACCTCGGCCTCCCAAAGTGCTGGGATTACAGACGCGAGCCACCACCCTGGCCCTGATAATTCTACTGTTGTCTAACATCAGGCAAAGCACCACCAGGACTCTAACATAGACAAAGGAGGAATTAACAAATCTCTGATTATAGAGCATACAATTGCTGAAATGTTTGAACATTTTACCTACAAAGTTAACCTAGAGAAGGCTAAGCATCTCTTCTGATTTAACAAGCTTCCCACAAAACCCTAACAACAATGTATCAAATAATCCTAATTGTTTCTGGCACCTGTATTTTAAATAAGATGCAAGAACAAGTCTTTGTGGTCTCTTAGGGGCCCTCTGGGAAATCTCAAAGATAGTCTTAGGTAACAGATATTCTGAAAGTTATTTAACTTCACTTGAGAGTCAATCTTAGAAACAAACAAAATAGTCTGGAGAGTTGAATGCAGGAATAACATTTGGCTATTTATTTGAAAGTAGCAATAGGGCCTGGCGTGGTGGCTCAAGCCTGTAATCCCAGCACTTTGGGAGGCCGAGGCGGGTGGATCACGAGGTCAAGACATAGAGACCATCCTGGTCAGCATGGTGAAACCCCGTCTCTACTAAAAAAATACAAAAATTAGCTGGGCGTGGTGGCACATGCCTGTAATCCCAGCTACACAGGAGGCTGAGGCAGGAGAATTGCCTGAACCCAGGAGGCGGAGGTTGCAGTGAGCCGAGATTGCGCCATTGCACTCCAGCCTGGGTAACAAGAGTGAAACTCCGTCTCAAAAAAAAAAAAAAAAAGAAAGTAGCAATAAAACATTTAAAGCATTTAAAAACAAGCATAGAAGGTAAGGCGATCACCTGCTAAGAACCTAACTCTTACATAAGTGAAGCAGCTTCATTATCTTAAATAAAATTTCCTTTCTGCAAACCTGCTATTTTCTATTTCCATTCAGGTTTTGACCTTCACAGTTCTCTTTACTACTCTTAAACCACCAGGCACTTTACTTTAGGACAAAGCTATTCTTTTTTTCTTAATAAAAACATGTTTTATTACTTTGCATACAAAGTTGTACCTCTCTATCAAGATTGATCATAATAGAGTATCTTTTTTTTTTTCTTTTCTTTTTTTTTTTTTTAAGACGGAGTTTCGCTCTGGTTACCCAGGCTGGAGTGCAATGGCGCGATCTCAGCTCACCGCAACCTCCGCCTCCTGGGTTCAAGCAATTCTCCTGCCTCAGCCTCCTGAGTAGCTGGGACTACGGGCACGCGCCACCATGCCCAGCTAATTTTTTTGTATTTTTAGTAGAGATGGGGTTTCACCATGTTGACCAGGATGGTCTCGATCTCTTGACCTCATGATCCACCGACCTCGGCCTCCCAAAGTGCTGGGATTACAGGCGTGAGCCACCGCACCCGGCCTTAGAGTATCATTTAATTATAACTTTTACCAAAGGCTCTTCTGTTTCACAAAACAAACTAGGAGAATGGATCATTGTCAACTGTCACACATCAGCATTTTAGACTAGCAGAGCTCACAAATATACACAACACAACTTTCAGCAAGCACACGCATCCTGTATACAACTTAAACCCCATCTCTACTAAAAATACAAAAAATAGCTGGGCATGGTGGCGTGTGCCTATAATCCCAGCTACCTGAGTGGCTGAGGCAAGAGAATCGCTTGAACCCAGGAGGCAGAGGATACAGTGAGCCGAGATCGTGCCACTGCACTCCAGCCTGGGCCACAGAGCCAGACTCTTGTCTTAAAAAAAATAAATAAGCTCCATGTGGTGGCACATGCCTGTGGTTCCAGCTACTTGGGAGGATGAGGTAGAAGCATCACTTGAGCGTGGGAGACAGAAGCTATAGTGAGTTGAGACTGAGCCACTGCACTCCAGCCTGGGTGACAGAGCAAGACCCTGTCTCAGAAAAATTAAAATTAAAATAGATGCCAGGCACAGTGGCTCACGCCTGTAATCCTAGCATTTTGGGAGGTCAAAGTGGGTGGATCACCTGAGGTCAGGAGTTCGAGACCAGCCTGGCCAACATGGCAAAACCCCATCTCTTAAAAATAAAAAAAGAAAAATTACACAGAGTTTCCATATACAACCTTCTTTCCTCCCTCTCACCAATGTTTCTCCTAGCATCTCGAATTGGGTGTGCTGCATTTATGACAACTGATAAGCCAATACTGAGTGCATATTTTACATGAGCATTCACTCTTTGTACATTCCATAGGTTTTGGCAAATGCATAATATATCATGCATCCATTATCACAGTGTGAGACAGAATAATATGCTCCCAAAATGTCCTGTGGCCCACCTAGTCAACCTTCTTTTCCTCCCACTGATCATTTTTTTGCTGTCTCTAGAGTTTTCTCTTTCCCCAGAATGCTGTATGGCTACAATCAAACAGCATATAACCTTTTCATATTGCCTTCTTTCACTTAAAGATATGCATTTAAGGTTCCCTCATGTCTTTTCATCACTTGAAAATTCATTTTATTTTATTAGCCAGGTGCAGTGGCTCACACCTCTAATTCCAACACTTTGGGAGGCCAAGGCGAGGGTGGAAGGATCACCTGAGGTCAGGAGTTCGAGACAAGCTTGGCCAACATGGCAAAACCCCGTCTTTACTAAAAATACAAAAATTAGCCGGGCGTGGTGGCAGGCGCCTGTAATCCCAGCTACTTGGGAGGCTGAGGCATGAGAATCACTTGAACTCGGGAGGTGGAGGTTACAGTGAGACAAGATCATGCCACTGCACTCCAGCCTGGGCAACAGAGCAAGACTCCGTCTCAAAAAAAGAAAAAAAAAAAAAGAAAAAGTTCATTTCATTTTATCACTGAGTAATATTCTGTTATATTTATCACCACAATTTGTTTATGTATCCACCTATTGAAGGACATCTTAGTTGCTTCCAAGTTTTGATAATGATGAATAAGGTGGCTGTAAATATTTGTGTGCAGGCTTTTGTTTGGACATAAATTTTTCAACTCATTTGGGTAAACACTTAGGAGTGCAAATGCTGGATTTTCTGGTCAATCTCTGGTTAGTTTTGTAAGAAACTGCCATACTGTTTCCCAAAGTAGCTGTAACCATTTTGCATCCCCACTAGCAATAAATGAGAGTTCCTGTGTTCTACATTTTTTATAGCGTTTTGTGTTGCCAATAAGCATGTAATAGTATTTCACTGGTGTTTTAATTCATAGTTCCCTAACATATGATGTTCAGCATCTTTTCATATGCCTATTTACCATCTGCATACTTTCTTTAGTGAGATGTCTGTTCAGATCTTTTTTCCGTTTTTTAATTTTTTTTTTTTATTCTGAGTTTTAGTGTGTGTATTTTGGATACAAGTCCTTTGTTAGGTATGTGGTTTGCAAATATTTTCTCCTAGTTGTGGCTTGTTTTTTAAATTCTCTTAACATGTCTTTTGCAGAGCAGAAGTTTTTAATTTTAATGAAGTAAAACATCAATTTTTTCTTTAATGGATCATGCTTTTGATGTTGTATTTTATTTTGTTTTTGTTTTCGTTTATGGTGTTATATTTTAAAAGTCATTGCCAAATCGAAGGTCATTTCAATTTTCTCCTTTGTTGTCTTTTACAGTTTTATAGCTTTGTGTTTTACATTTAGGTTTATGATCCATTTGGAGTTGATTTTTGTGAAAGGCACAAGGTCTGAGTCTAGATTTTTGGTTTTGGCCTATGGGTGTCCAGTTATTCCAGCACAATTTGTTGACAAAACTATCCTTTCTCCATTGTATTTTCTTTTCTCCTTTGTCAAAGGTTGGCTATATTTCAGTTGTCATTGCTGGTGTATAGGAGCAATCGACTTTTGCATATTATTAACCTCGTATCCTGTATCCTGCAACTTCCCTCTCCTGGATTCAAGCTATTCTGGCTCAGCCTCCCAAGTAGCTGGGATTACAGCCATGTGCCATGATGCCCAGCTAGTTTTTGTATTTTCAGTAGAGATGGGGTTTTGCCATGTTGAGCAAGCTGGTCTCGAACATCTGTGATCCTAGGTACTCATGAGGCTGAGATAGGAGAATTGTTTGAACCTGAGAGGTTGCAGCAAGCCGAGACTGTGCCACTGCACTCCAACCTGGGTGACACAGCTAGATTCTGCCTCAAAAAAAAAAAAAAAAAAAAAAAAAAAAACAACAACAAAAAACTGATTTAAAGAATTAAGAGTGTCTTCAAGGTTAAGAGTGTCAGATTAATGATGTCCACCCTCATATGGCAGTCACTGTACTATGTTCATTAACAATCTAATAGAATATTAATATCTGCATGTTAGAGATGAGCTGAGACTCAGAGAAGTTAAGCAACTTGCTCAAAGACACCCAGCTAGTATGAGGCAGAGAGGTTGGTTATGGTCACCAGAACCTCATTATCTTTGCACCTGCATTTGATTTGTAAATGCTTATAAGGATAGTTGTGCTTATACAAGCTGTTTAGCAGACTGATGGGGAAAGTTCACACTGTATAGCAGATTCAGTTCTACCAGGCCATTTGTCAAGGCTATGAAGTCGCTGTTAAAAACCAACAGCTGGGCACGGTGGTTCACACCAGTAATCCAGCACTTTGGGAGGCCAAGGCAGGCGGATCACAAGGTCAGGAGAGCAAGACCATCCTGACCAACGTGGCGAAACCCCTACTCAGGAGGCTGAGGCAGGAGAATCACTGGAACCTGGGAGACAGAGGTTGCAGTGAGCTGAGATCGTGCCACTGCACTCAAGCCTAGCAACAGAGCGAGACTCCATCTCAAAACAAACAAACACGTAGGCAGCGCAGAGGAACAGGACCTAACCTGTCTTGGCAGCTCTCACCCCCTGTTCCCTTCACCATTCAGCAAGGGCACATCCCCCTGGAGAATGGAACCAGCAGCAGACCCTGTCTCAATGTTCAGGCTGACCAGAGCCCATGCTTGGCCCTGGCACTGGATGTTGGGACCTGATGCAGCTCTGACCTCAAAGATCAGTCCTTGAAAAGTAAATCCCAGAAAAGGAAGAACCCCTGCCTTGATCTCTACCTGAGGTTTAGACAAGCGTGTGGGAGAGCCAGCAGGCAGAGAACAGAGGCAGTCCTTCTCACCCAGTCAGGAGGCTTTCAAATTAGGTGGCCTTAGGACCTCAAGGGAGAAGAGATTTCTTTCCTCAGCCATTGCAAGGTTTGTGGCTGAGACCCCAATAATGAAAGACAGATTAACAAGAGAAGAGCATCCAAATTTATTTAACCTTAAGTTTAGGAGACACAAGAGCCTTCAGAAATGAAGACCCAAATATTCAGGGGAAACTATTTTTGTTGACATTTGTGCAGAAGTATGATTGGAAGACAAAAGGGTGTGATGTCATGGTAAATCAACCAGGGGGAGGTACCAAGGCCTGTTCAGATTCCTCTTGGCCTCTGTGTGACTTTCCTTTCCTTGGGTATGGGGCAGGACACCTGTCACAGGAGGTCTTCAAGGGAGAGGGGAGGAAGAAGGCCAGAGAGTGACCTTCCTGCTTCTGCAGTTTTCTCAGTTTCCTTCAGCTTAAAATACTCAGTATGCCAAGGTGTGCCATATTTGGGGTGTCCTGTTCTGAGCCCCACAGAGCTCACAAGCTCTCGGAAGCACCTTGGACTTCGACTTCTCACAGTCAGGGACATTTTCCTGGGCCATTGGAACCAGACCTGTCCATTTCCTGCCCCTGCAGGTGGCAAGTTGGGAAGGAGACCCTCGAGCAAGCGGGCTCCCAAAGCTCAGGGGACCCCGGGCAGGCGTGGAGCTCAGCGAAGCCGGAAGGAGCGCACAGGGGGCAGCCCAAGCCCGGGGTCTCCCCAGAGGAAGCAAGCAGAGCGCAGGAGACTCGGAGAGGAGCTGGGGAAACAGGAGCCGAGCAAGGCGGAGGGGACCTGGGAGGGGAGGAGGAAGCGGGACGAAAGGTCTTCCCTCAAGGAGCAGACAGCACCCTCAAAGAAGGAAAAGGAGATTCCGAGGAAGGAGGAGAAGTTGAAGCGGCAGAAGAAACCCAGGTGTGTTGTGGTTCGGATTCTGTGCGTTCACTCCACGTGCTCACGCTCCCTCTCGGCCCTTCTCCTTCCCCCATGAGGGACTGATGACCCTCCCTGGTGACAGCAGCCTCTACCCTCACTCGGGCTTCCATGTCTCCCCGCCCTTACCACTGCCCGGCTCTGCGGTGGGCTCCTCCTCCCAGAACCCAGGTGAAGCTTGCAGGTCCTCGCAGGTGGAGAGGACACGGACTCTCTCCACTCCAGCGTCTCATGGCACACTAGTGAAGTGGAGCGTGGGTGGTGAGGTGACGGGGCAGCAGGGTGGGACAAGATCCTGCGTCCCATGAATTTCAGCGTGTGGCTAACCCCAGCTCTTGAAGAGGAGGAGCTGAGAGACATGAACAAAATTGGATTCAGGAATCATCCCAGGGCTTAAAAGCACACCCCTGGCCGGGCGCGGTGGCTCAAGCCTGTAATCCCAGCACTTTGGGAGGCCGAGGCGGGTGGATCACGAGGTCGAGAGATCGAGACCATCCTGGTCAACATGGTGAAACCCCGTCTCTACTAAAAATACAAAAAATTAGCTGGGCATGGTGGCGCGTGCCTGTAATCCCAGCTACTCAGGAGGCTGAGGCAGGAGAATTGCCTGAGCCCAGGAGGCGGAGGTTGCGGTGAGCCGAGATCGCGCCATTGCACTCCAGCCTGGGTAACAAGAGTGAAACTCCGTCTCAAAAAAAAAAAAAAGCACACCCCTTTCCGGATTCCGGATCTGGGCCAGTTTCCTGTTCTGGAAATGTGGCATTGGTCTAGGAGACCTTCACGGGTGCTACCAGCTCTGAAATTCTGGGGCTCGGAGGTTTTATTTGTTTTGCCTCCTTTGTTCCGTTACCATTACCACCAACTAGCACATGTGGCTTAGTGGACAGGACCAGCTCATGGCATCAGAAAGTGGAGATTTGGGGTTCATGTTTTTGCTATCAATTTTAATAGATCTCTCTCTCTCTTTGCCTCCCTTTTTCAGTCATTGAGGATAATAGATATCTTATTCGTTGCTTATTGTTTTAAGAATTCCCCGTGATAGAAATAGGAAAGCTTTGCAACAGTTGGGAATATTAGGATGATGGTGAAGAGCTGATGTTTCCGCCCAGTGGTTTGTAGCAAATCCTCTTTACCCGCAGCCTCAGTTGGGTGCTCCCCCTTCCTCTCCACCTTTACAGAGGAATCTGAGGCTCTTAAACAAGGCCACTGATTTTTTTTCTGTTGCCATGCCAACCATCCTGGCTTAATTAGAGCCTTTGTCTGCTGTCTGGTTGCTGCCAGACATGAACTAAAGGGGAGATGGGTGCATCATGCCCTTGGACATTTAAAAATAATTTGAATGCACCGGTGATGGGTCCTGAGTGTCCTGAAATTTTGAGGGAGGCTGTACCATCCCAAGAGGCCACAAAGACTCGTTTGTGTCATTTTCAGCTGAGGGTAATGTTAGGGCATAGAAGGATGAAAACATTCAGTTCCCGTTGCCCAGATACCGACAGTGTAGCAGAGGAGATAAGACACAGGCATTGATAATCCTAAGACAAGGCAGAAAGCAATATGCATGCAAGACAGGACTTGAGGGAGTGCTGAATTCCAGGGGTGCCGGGCCATCAGGGCTCCTCCATGGAGAAGGTAAATATCTCAACGAGGCTTTGAACAGGTGGGATGTGAACAAGCAATGACTGGATGCCCAACCCCCAAACTGTGGGAACACCCTATGCAGACAGTCAAAGGCAGATATCATTGATAGGGTGTGAATGAAGTATAGCTATACATATATATAAAATCTGTGTTCTAGGCTTTTCAGCCTTCGAGGGCATCCAAAAACTTCTTTGCTCCCCAGGAGTTAATCAGAAGCTAAAACACTCTGAGACTGCTGCAAACTTGTCTCTAAAGGGGCAGTTACCCAACCCCCACCCTGATGTTGCCATTTATGAAACGCCCTCAGGCTGAACAGCCATAACCCTTTCTTAGTCCTCTCCTTCACCTAAACAATTGGCTGTTGTCTCACTCAGCTGAGAGTCACTATTTTTATCACTGAAGGAGTCAGAATAGGCTGAACGCTATAAGGAACACACAAAGTCACTTGAATTTTGTGACAGTTGAGCATGTAGAATTATCTGGGAGATGGGGAGGTCCCCAGCTGGAAATTCTCCATGGCTCTGCTGTCCAATATGACAGCCACTAGCCACATGTGGCTGCTGAGCACTTGAAATGCGGCCAGTGTGGAACTGAGGAACTGAACTTCTCATTTAACTGTAACTCAGTGAGTAACTGAATTTCTCATTTAATTGTAACTCAATGTCAATACCACTGAGTTGACATAGGAGTTGGTAAATTTACTTAATTTGGACAGATGTAGTTTTGAAACTGATTTGATTTGACTTTGAAGCCAGAACAGTTCTTCTACAAAAAGACAAACTATTCATGTCAATGCAGATGCAAATATTAAAGGAAAAGAATATTTTGCTACTTGATGCAGTTATTGAGAATCTTTTAAGTATGTCTAAAACAATTTGGGGATATCTACCTTTTTCACCTATAAACTTATGAAATATAAATACAGATCAAATATGTCTGATGAAAGTTTAACATCTGAATAGCCTTGCAGTTTGAGTACAAAATAAATACCAACCTTTGAAGACAGTATTTTTTTCTTCTGTTTGAGATGGAGTCACTCTGTTGCCCAGACTGGAGTGCAGTGGTATGACCTCAGCTCACTGCAGTCTCTGCCTCCCAGGTTCAAGCAATTCTCTGCCTCAGCCTCCTGAGTAGCTGGGATTACAGGCACCTGCCACAACACCCAGCTAATTTTTGTATTTTTAGTAGAAACGGGGTTTCACCATCTTGGCCAGGCTGGTCTTGAACTCCTCACCTCATGATCCACCCACCTCAGCCTCCCAAAGTGCTGGGATTACAGGCATGAGCCACCGCATCCAGCCTGAGGATGGTATTTTTTAAAAGACTGAAATGTCTCTAATAATTGTATATTGATGGCAAGCTAAATTACAGTTTTTAATATATTTGATTAAATAAACTGTATTATTAAAATTACTTTAATCCATGCTTTTTACCACTCCAAGGTGGCTACTAGAGAAATTTGCATTACAGTAAGTGGCTTGTGTCCTGTTTCTGTTGGGGAGCACCGAGCTGGAGTATGGTTTGTGGGAGGCCTCGCAGAAATGAAGAATGGGGACGCAGCCCTCCAGGGCCCTGGGCTACAGGATAGAGTGTTGGCCTCTGCTGCCAGGTGATGGGAGTCACTGAGGGCTTCTGAGCAGAGGGCAGGAGTGCCATCTTGCCCATGGGCTCCGCCTCACTCCACAGCACCTGAGGACACCACCTCCTTTCCAACTCCCATCTGCCTCCGCCCTGGCTCTGCCTCCAGATCATCCTCATTGGCCTCCAGTGGCTCTGGTGGGGAGTCCCTGTCTGAGGAGGAACTGGCCCGGATCCTGGAGCAGGTGGAAGAAAAAAAGAAACTCATTGCCACCATGCGGAGCAAGCCCTGGCCCATGGCGAAGAAGCTGACAGAACTTAGGTGAGCAGGCTGCGGGCCGACCAGGGCCTCCTGATATCCACAGGACTCCGCTCCTTCTGACGGATGGGAGCCCCTCCCTCCACACGTCCCCAAAGGGGCTTGATGGGAAAGGGGGATGCTCCAGAGAGGAGCATAGCACTCAGGGAACCTCATGAGAGCCAGGGCAGCCCTGCTGTTCGCCAGCACCACAGGGCCTGGATAGGGAGCCAGGGAAGACTGAGAGGACTCCCGGCCTGTGCCCACGTCTTCCCCTGCCTGGCTGACCCTTTTATCCCATGCCCCACCTCATCTGGTGGCTTCTGTGCCTCTCTCATAATCCAACACAGACGTTCCTTTCCCAGAAGCTTTCTAGACCTCCTCCTCCTCAAGAGCAGCTCTCTTTCATGTTCCTGCAGCACACAGCGTCTCTCCGTGTGTACACACTCTCTCTTGTGATTTACAGAGTGGAGAGGGTCTCTCTGAGCCAGTCTCACACCCTGTTGCCTGGCGCAAGCCCCCAGGCATCATGAATATCACTCTGTGAATGGTGACAGACCTCCTGCCCATGCCACTCAACTTCTGTTTTCTACTCAGCCAGTTCTCTGGTGTCCATGCAAAAGGCTGATGCATGGAGCATTTGATGATTCTGGAGTCTGCTACAGTTTTGAAATAACAGCAGTAGGCTGGGCATGGTGGCTCACACCTGTAATCCCAGCACTTTGGGAGGCCAAGGTGAGTGGATCACTTGAGGTCAGGAGTTTGAGACCAGCCTGGCCAACATGGTGAAACCCTGTCTCAACTAAATATACAAAATTTAGCCAGGTGTGGTGGCAGGCACCTGTAGTCCCGGCTGCTTGGGAGGCTGAGGCAGGAGAATCGATTGGACCCGGGAGGCAGAGGTTGCAGTGAGCCAAGATCATGCCACTGCACTCCAGCCTGGATGACAGAGTGAGACCCCTGTCTCAAAAGGAAGGAAGGAAGGAGGGAAGGAAGGAAGGAAAGAAAGAAGGAAGGGAGGGAGGGAGGGAGGGAGAGAGGGAGGGAGGGAGGGAGGAAGGGAGGGAGGGAGGGAGGCAGGCAGTAGTTATATTACATAATTTTGGGGTTTCTACTAAAAAGTTCCCATCCAACATGACCATTTTCCCCAAGGACCCTCTGTTTTTTGCCACAGCTTTGGGGTGACTCTCACTTCCCCTCTTTCCTCTGTAGGAAGCACGTGCTCCCTGGCTCCTCTCATACCTGAGCTTCCTCATTGCTCAAGTCAAATTCCTCACTCTTTATTAAACAGAGCAGTTTTCAGCCATGTTCTGACATTATTTACCCCAAGAGGCATAGCAAGGATCTAGCCACACTAACACTGTGCAGCCCTGACAAGGATTCTGGAAAGCAGAGCTTACCCCACAGGCTGCAAATTATTGTGTCGTCTCCTGTGGAGCCACGGGAAGAAACACTTCCTGGGAGCCTCCAGTCCTATTCTTTAGGCCAGTGCTGCTGACCACCAGAACTTTCTGCAGTGATGGATATCATTCTAAATTTGCACTAACACAGCCACTACCGCATGTGGTTACTGAATACTTAAAACAGAGTTAGTGCAACTGAAATACTGATTTTTTTGTTTTAACTTTTATTTAAACTTAAATTTCTGTACAGTATGGTGACTATAATAACAATGTATTAGATATCTGAAAATTGCTAAGAATAGATTATAAGTATTCTTACCACACACAAAAAATAAAGGGCAATGCATGTATTAATCAGCTTAACAATTCACAATGTATACATATGTCAAACATCATACATAAATACACCATAAATATATATATATATATATATATATATATATATATATATATTTGAGATAGAGTCTTGCTTTGTTGTTCAGGCTAGACTCCAGGGACACAATCTCAGCTAACTACAACCTCCACCTCCCGGGTTCAAGCAACTCTCTGCCTCAGCCTCCTGAGTAGCGGGAATTACAGGTGCCCGCCACCACGACCAGCTAATTTTTTTATTTTTAGTAGAGACAAGGTTTCACCATCTTGGCCAGGCTGGTGTTGAACTCCTGACCTCATGATCCACCTGCCTCAGCCTCTCAAAGTGCTGGGATTACAGGTGTGAGCCACCATGCCTGGCAACAATTTTTTTTAAGAGACAGAGTCTTGCTCTGTCACCCACACTGGAGTGCAGTCTGCCATGATAGCTCCCTGTGGCCTTGAATTCCTGGGCTCAAGTGATCCTCCTGCCACAACCTTTCCAGTAGTTGGGAAAACAGGCATATGCCATCACACCTGACTGATTTTTCAATTTTTTGTGGAGACAGGGTCTTGCTATATTGCCTAGGCTGATCTTGAACTCCTATGCTCAAGTAATCCTCCCACCTCAGCTTCCCCAAGTATTGGGATTACAGGCATGAGCCACCACATCTGGCCCATTTGTCAATTAAATAATGAAATAACAGTAGGCCAGGTGCGGTGTCATGCCTGTAATCCCAGCACTTTGAGAGGCCAAGGTGGGTGGATCACATGAGATTGGGAGTTCGAGACAAGCCTGACCCACATGGAGAAACCCCATCTCTAGTAAAAAATGGAAAATTAGTCAGGCATGGTAGTGGATGCCTGTAATCCCAGCTACTCAGGAGGCTGAGACAGAAGAATTGCTTGAACCCGGGCAACAGAGGTTGCAGTGAGCCAAGACTGCACCATTGTGCACTCCAGCCTGGGCAACAGAGTAAAACTTTGTCTCAAAAAAAAAAAAAAAAAAAGTAATTTAAAAAATTTAAATAGTCCTGGCCCGGCATGGTGGCTTACACCTGTAATCCCAGCACTTTGGGAGGCCAAGGCGGGTGGGTCACTAGGTCAAGAAATCGAGACCTTCCTGGCCAACATGGTGAAACCCCGTCTCTACTAGAATACAAAAATTAGCTGGGCATGGTGGTACACGCCTGTAGTCCCAGCTACATGGGAAGCTGAGGCAGGAGAATTGCTTGAACCCGGGAGGTGGAGGTTGCAGTGAGCCGAGATCGCACCACTGCACTCCAGCCTGGCACCTAGTGACAGAGCAAGACTCTGTCTCAAAAAAAAAATTTTTAAATAGCCCCATGTCTCGGGTGGCAATAGTGTGGAAGCTAGGCTCAGCTCTGGGCTGTCTTCCTTTGCAGCCTCCTCTTTTTAAATCCTTTCTCCCTGCTCCCCCCAAGCTGGTCTCCTTCTGCCAGCAGGACAGAACAGCCACCTGTCACGCTAACAAAACCTCACTCCCACTCAGGTGTCACCAGAACACATCTTTTATTAACAGTGGAAAAAGTGCAACCCTGATGAGTATGGAAATGCGATCTCCAGCTGGCTGGAAGTCTTGGGGACCATGGCAATACCTGAGGGCCCTTCAGCTGCCAGAGGAGAAATCTGACATCTCCTCCCTATCTCTGAGGGGCAGAGTTCCTGGGGCTGGCAGGGTGGGCAGAGGCTAAGGCCTGAGAAGCTGAGGAGACCCGTGCCTCTCTCACTGGAGTGGGTCTCCCCAGCAAAGAGTGGGCCTCCTCCCCCTGGGCCTCCCTCCTTGCCTCTTCCTAGCATCTTCCCTCCCACAAGGCTCCTTATCCCAGACTCAGGTTTAAGGCTCTCCAGCTTCTGAGTCTCCATCCAAGCTGGTGCCTCTGCCACATGTGCTTGAGCCTTCATAGTTCAGATTTCCTTTGGTTAGGTGATAACAGAATTCCTGTTCTTTTTTTTTTTTTTCTAAGCAGGGAGGCCCAGGAATTTGTGGAGAAGTATGAAGGTGCCTTGGGAAAGGGGAAAGGCAAGCGACTATATGCCTGCAAGATGCTGATGGCCAAGGTGTGTGGGGTAGAGGCAGCAAATCTGTGGGGAAGGCTTGCTCAGTTTTGGAATCTGGGGACCAACTCAGGCACCTGCCCAGTTTCATCAATTGTGTCCAGCTGCCCCCAGAATCCTGGGTGTGAGGGCCACCTGACCATTCTCATCCACCTACAAATGGAAAGTAATCATACATAGCCTGTCAGTTTCTCCAGTTGTACTGTGAGGGCTTCTACACATTTGAGACTTGGTTTCTCTCCATCAAATACACTTAGAGAACTAATGATGTTAAAACCACTGCAATTTTATTTTGCAAATCCCAAATCAGGACAGGTTGAGTTGGTGGAGACCCAGAAGGGCTGTGGTGTGATCAGGGTCACATGGATGACAAACAGCCATGTCCCCAGAGGGGTGGGGGGTCAGCTCTGTTTTGTTGAGTTGTATCATAATCTGGGCATCTGCTTGAAGTTAGGGTAGTGTTTCATGTTGGATATTTAATGTGAGACTTCCTGAAGTATCCTTCCTTTGCCCACTGATTTGAAAAACTACCATTCTCATTCACTTAATTCTTGTGCAGAGCCTGTTTCAGGGCTTTTGTACTGAACAATCATTTGACGTCACTATCTCAGCTCTTAATTCTGATGCCTGGTAGTTCTAGGTTCCCCTTTTTGCTTTTGGTTTTTTGTTTGTTTGTTTTTAGAGACAGAGTCTCACTCTGTCACTAAGGCACAGCATCACCAATCCAGCCTTAGTGGCAGCCTTGAACTCCTTGGCTCAAGAGATCCTCCAGCCTCAGCCTCAGGCTCTGAGGAGCTAGGACTACAGGTGCACCTCACCACACCCTGCTAAATCTTTGTTTTTTAAAAAAGTTTCTTGGCTGTCTTGTATATGTTTCTACATGCATTTAAAAAATCGATTTGCCAAGTTCCACTATAGTGTATTGACATTTTGGTTGGAATTTCTTTTAATCCTGTCTTTAATTTGGGACTTCCTTATGTATACAATGTTTAGTCTTCACATCCAGAATACCATATATTTCTCAAGCCTATAGTATATTCTTAAGCAAAGTTTGTCATTTTCTCCCTATAGATCTTTTCCATGTTTTATTTCTACATAGTTAATAGCCTAGTTGCTTTTGCAAATGAGATCATTTTTCAACTATTTAATAACTAGTTATTGGTAGTATGTAAGAAAGCTACAAATTCCTGTGCTCATTTTTTATCTGGTTCTCTTATGGTACTATCTTATTAATTCTAATCTTTTTCATCTGATTATGTATATAAAGATGTTTTTGTTGGATTCTCCTAAATGCCTATCCTAAAATGTGGGCTAGCAATCCTAGAATAGTATCAGTTGATACTGGTGATCATAGCTCTCCTCGTCTTTACATCACTTTAATGAGAATGACTCTAATGACTTTCACATTAAGTTGATTGGAGTTGTTGGCTTGAAATAGATTTTCTTTGTAACCATAAAAACTTATTGTCATCCAGGTGCCATGACTCATGCCTGTAATCCCAGGACTTTGGGAGGCTGAGGCAGGTAGACCACAAGTCAGGAGTTCGAGACCAGCTTGACCACCATGGTGAAACCCTGTCTCTACTAAAAATACAAAAATTAGCCAGGCATGGTGGCGTGCACCTGTAATCCCAGCTACTCAGGAGACTGGGGCAAGAGAATCACTTGAACCCAGGAACTGGAGGTTGCAGTGAGTCGAGATCATGCCACTGCACTCCAGCCTAGGTGACAAAGCAAGACTCAGTCTCAAAAAAAAATTATTGTCTAGTTACTGCTTAGTAAGACTTCCATGTCATTGAAAAAACACCTTTTCCTTTATGTTATTACACTTTTTAAAAAATTTCTGGGATACTCTCAGTCATGGTACATTACTTTTAACTCCATAGACACATTTGATTTTCCAATATTTTATTTATGATTTTCACATACATTTTCGTAAGATTGAATTTGTGTGTGTTTGTACACAAGTGTATGCATGTGTAGTATCTTGGAAGATTTTAACCTTAGGGCTGCACTTGCTTTATAATTTTAAATGAATAGCATTACCTCCTCTTCTTTATGTTGTCAATCAGTTTTTGGAGCATTATAATACACTTTTTGTTAATTTTAAAGATGATACCCTTACAATGGTAGAGATCAGAGCCATTTTTATAGAATGCCTTGAATTTCTTTGCAAGTATTCACTGTGTTGGTGTACTTCAGTTTTAACTTTTTCTTGGGACTATTTTGATAATTCATATTCTTCCTGAAACTTGATCATTTCATTAATGTTTTCTTATGTGTTAACAGAAAGTCACATATGGTAGCCCAATAATTTTTGTAATTATTTTTTATGTATGTTGGGTTGGGTTTGAATCTTTTTTTTTTTTTTTTTCTCTGTTACTCAGGCTGGAGTGCAATGGCATGATCTCAGCTCATGGCAACCTCTGCCTCCTGGGTTCAAGCGATTCTCCTGTCTCAGCCTCCCAAGTAGCTGAGATTACAGGCATGCACTAACACACCCAGCTAATTTTAGTATTTTTAGTAAAGATGGGGTTTCACCATGTTGGCCAGGCCGGTCTCAAACTCCTGAGATCGGGTGATCCTCCCGCCTCAGCCTCTCAAGATGCTGGGATTACAGGCATAAGCCACTGTGCCCAGCCTGAATTTTCTTATTTCTAATACTATTTTTCTCCTTTTTCAGTTATGCTTGCCAGACAACTCTCTATGGGTCATTTTATTAATTTTGTTTAGAGTCTATCTACCACTTACCAACTGCACACTCGCATCTTATTTTTTCCAACGAGGAATGTGTTCTTCAAGTATATTTTTTTCTAGATTTTTACAATGACAAACAATGCTTCAACAAATACCTTTTATACATTTATCTTCGATCCGTGTGTTTTTTTAATCACAACAGGACAGTCACTCAAATAGTACTGCTGGTTCAAAAGTGTGAATATTTTAAATTTTACTACACATTTTTCAAACTATTTCTCCCAATTTGTAGCAAATCATACTCAAAGGAACAAAGAGAATGACTTATCCTCACTATGAATGTTATTGTCCATTTTACTTTGTGCTAATCTAATGGGTAAAAACCAGGTTATTATTCTTCCTTTAATTTGTATTCACTGTTTTTTTTTTATTGTAGTAAGAACACTTGAGATTTACCTTTCTAACTAATTAAGTACACAATACCGTATTGTTAAGCACAAATATCATGTTGTACAGCAGATCTCTAAACAAGTGCATCTCTGATAAATGATTCTGTTCAGCCATGTTTCTGTTCACATAGTTCTAGCTTCCTGCTTAGGAAGGATAGCTGCCTGCTTCCCACCCTCCATCCTCCGTATTTACTTTTCCACATAATTTTTAGCTCTTTGCTTCTTTCTCTTTGCAATCTCAGAAATTTATCAGGTCTACTCTCCATATCATTGGATCCATTTTCCTCTGTGTCAATTATAGTCTTTATTTTGTCTAATGTTACTTTTCATTCAATTACTAACCTCTTAGCTTCCTTGTAATCCTTCTGTATCTCATCTGTATTCTTTTTAAATTGGTACCCTTTACTTTAGAAGCCATATTTCTTGCATCCTATTAAGAATACGGAACTGCTTTTTAGACGTTATGTTGTATCTTGAAGGAAACATTTTCCACAAATATCAAAGAATGGCGTTCCTTTTTTCCCTGTTCTGCCATAATATTTTCCAGGCATCACTGGTTGTTTTCATGTTAGCTACCCAGATCCTGATTTTTTTGACAGGACATGTAGCTTGCCTGTGTCTTGCTCTGCCATGACTTGAAACTTTTTTCCTATATATAGCTGGAGAGTAAGACAGCATGACAACGAATAACCCATCCTAGGACCAGCAACGACCACCACACACAGCCCTGAGAAAGGGGCTTGGAATCTTCTGCCCATGCCCCAGCCCAGTTTTCTGACTCTGTCAACCAATGAATGATAAGAGAATCAGTACAGGAGCATCTCCCAGGCCTCTCTCTCCCTCTGCTCCAGATCCAGGGCCTCACTTTTCAGTCCGAGATACCCATAGCCCTGAGGAGCTATCAGGTGGTTGCCAAGGAACCGACCGGCAGGCTGTGCCTCCAGGGGCCTCACTTGGCAATGTTCATTACCCCTGCTGGTCCCCAGCCTTGCAAGCCTCTATTTTATACTGATTTTATCAGCACCCTGACAAAGGATCCATCTCTCAGGAGAGAACTGGCATTAATAAAGCTTATGAGGCTGCTACATGAAACCAGATGCTGGATTATTAACTTACAAGAAGAAATAACTGATGCAAGATGGAAAATCAGAAGTCCACAGCAGCCGTGCCTTTTATTTTTGGTAGCTCAGTTATATGGGAAGCTAAACCATCATCCCAATTCCTATCTATGAATTTGGAGTGAAAGTCACTGCCATAGAAATCAAAATACTCAAGGCAAATGCTTTCTTTATAGGCAGACCTACATAGGAAGCCAATAGTCAAAGAGTATTTTGGGGTTTGGGGATTTTTTTTTTTTTTAAACAGAGTCTCACTCTGTTGCCCAGGCTGGATGGAGTGCAGTGACGCAATCTTGGCTCACTGCAACCTCCACCTGCTGGATCAAATGATTTCCCTGCCACAGCCTCCTGAGTAGCTGGGATTACAGGCACCTGCCACCACACCAAGCTAATTATTGTATTGTTAGTAGAGACAGGGTTTCACCATGTTGGCCAGGCTGGTCTCTAACTCCTGCCCTCAGGTGATCCATCCACCTCAGCCTCCCAAAGTGCTGCGATTATAGGTGTGAGCCACTGCCCCCAGCCTGTATTTATTTTTAGTAGAGACAGAGTTTCACTATTTTGGCCAGGTTGATTTCGAACTCATGATCTCTTGTGATCCACCTGCCTCAGCCTCCCAAGGTGCTGGGATTACAGGCATCAGGCACCATGCCCATGGTGGCCCAAAGAGTATTTTTGAACACAGAATCAGAGCTAGGGAGGGTGGATGAAGCAATGAGACTGGGCTGCCCAGTGTCTGTCATCTTCCAATCCCCATATTCTCCGTATCTTTGCCGCTATTATCAACCAGTCTTTACTCATGGGCTTCTCTTCTCTTTTGCATCTGTGACCATCTCTGTCTTCTGACAGCTGGTTCCCTTCTTTATACAATCATTCAATCAGGAGATGGTCAAAACCATATCCTGGAAAACCAGGTCTGGAAGCCTGTCTGATTCCTTCACAAAAATTTTTCCCTTTTTAATGGATGTGGTGGCTCATGCCTGAAATCCCAACACTTTGGGATGCTGAAGGCAGGAGGATCACTTGAGCCCGGGAGTTTGAGACCAGCCTGGGCCACGTGGTAGCTGCTTAGGAGGCTGAGGCAGGAAGATCACCTGAGCCCAGGAGGTCAAGGCTGCAGTGAGCCATGTTTGTGTCACTGCACTCATGCCCTGGGCAACAGACTGAGGCCTTGTCTGAAAACAGAAATATTTCCCTTTACACCTTTAGTGACTTTAGTTTTTGCCCCTTCTTTTTGCAGGTGTTGACTTTAGTGACTTTACAGGGGAAAATCTCATTTCCTTCATGAACACATTCTGAGGAGACCTTTTAATAATAGGAACTGGGCCAGACGCAGTGGCTCATGCCTGTAATCCCAACACTTTGGGAGGTCAAGGCAGGTAGATCACTTAAGGTCACAAGTTCAAGACCAGCCTAACCAACATGAGGAAACCCCGTCTCTACGGAAAATTCAAAATTTGGGCCAGACATGGTGGCTCATGCCTGTAATCCAGCACTCTGGGAGGCCGAGATGGGTGGATCACCTGAGGTCAGCAGTTCAAGGCCAGCCTGGCCAACATGGTGAAACCCCATCTCTACTAAAAATACAAAAATTAGCCAGGCATGATAGTGTACTCTTGTAATCTCAGCTACTCAGGAGGCTGAGGCAGGAGAATCACTTGAACCCTGGAGGCAGAGGTTGCAGTAGCCGAGATTGCACCACTGCACTCCAGCTTGAGAGACCTAGTGAGACTCCATCTCAAAATAACAATAATAATGGGAACTGATCTTAGGATCAGCTCTCTACTACCTCTTATCCTTTTTATGAGTATTTCTACCTCAACTTTCTATGAGTATTTGTTTTATTCCAAATCGATTTGTTTCCAGAGTGTGTGGTTGTTGGAGAGCAGCCCCTCCGAGAGTTGACAAAACCATAGAAAGACAGCTGATCAGGTTTCTGTTTGGTACAAAGTCTGGGTGTCGGAGTTGGGAATGGACCACAGGAGGGGGCAACTCGCCTTTCTGACTCTTTTCAGAAAGGCGAGGCTGTTGTTTCCCCTGGAGAAGGATGGGCCACCATGGGTTGACATCTCCTTATCACTTGCACCACCGTTGCAATTTTGTGGCAATTCCTGTCAGACAGAGGCACTTGGCTGTCTGCCAGACGTGGGTCTGAGAGTTGCCAGATTCCCTTTTTCCTTTGAACTTTTGTTTTAAGATGAAGAAGGTCATATCAGACGTTGCTAATTCAATTGGACCCTCCAACACAGAAATCGTCCAGAGAGTTTCTCACTTCATCTATACACTGTTCAAACCGGAAATTTTATCAGCACAGTAAGGGGTGGCCCTGGCTTGTCTCTCACTCCACACCTGACATTGGGTAAGCGAAGGTTTGAACATCTGCCTGTGGCAGACTGGGCTTGAGGACAGCAGGAGCTGGGGACTACAAGACAGCAGCCTCACCCGCACTGACTCATGCTGACCCGCCAGCCTCCTCCTGCCCCTCATCACGCTCCTTTGTGCCCCAGCTCGACATGTTAATGAACTGAGAGTTTTACCTCTTTTATTTCAGAAATGGGTCAAATTTAAGAGAGACTTTGATAATTTCAAGACTCAGTGTATCCCCTGGGAAATGAAGATCAAGGACATTGAAAGTGAGTATGCTGGTGTCACTGACTTTTTTAATTGGTTTCCTAAAGAGTTTCCCAAGAGCTTGAATTGTTTCCTTGGTCCTCTAAATAGATTAGTTCATTGATTCAGCTGTATTAGGAAAAAAGAATGGGTTTTCAACTAGTCGAGCCAAGATTTATTTATTTTTCTTTTTCTTTTTTATTTTTTGAGACAGAGTCTTGCTCTGTTGCCCAGGCTGGAGTGCAATGGCATGATCTCGGCTCACTGCAGCCTCTACCTCCCAGGTTCAAGTGATTCTCCTGCCTCAGCCTCCCGAGTAGCCGGGATTATAGGTATTCACCACCACACTTGGCTTTTTTTTTTTTTTTTTTTTTTTTTTTTGTATTTTTAGTAGAGTAGGGGTTTCACTATGTTGACCAGGCTGGTCTCGAACTCCTCACCTCAAGTGATCCATCCACCTTGGCCTCCCAAAATGCTAGAATTACAGGCATGAGCCACCATACCCAGCCCTGACCCACCATACCCAGCCCTGACCAAGATTTAAGTTCTGCTTCTTCACTTTTTGAGTATAGGAGCTTAGGCAGGTTAGTTAACCCAAAGAGCCTCAGGTTATTTATCTAGAAAAAGAAAGGGAGACAGATGTCATTCAACAGATTGATGACAAAATTGAATCCATCACACACGTAAAGTGCTCAATAGTGTGTATTTTTTTCCTTCTGCAGCACTTACACCCACCGTCTTTTCTCTCTCTAGGTCACTTTGGTTCTTCCGTGGCATCATATTTCATCTTCCTCCGATGGATGTATGGTGTTAATCTTGTTCTTTTTGGCTTAATATTTGGTCTAGTCATAATCCCAGAGGTAAGAAAACAACTTCCTAAATCTTTGGATAGAGTTGAGGCTTATGACCACCAACATCAATTATCAACCAGTACTTCCTGTTTTACAAAGAATCAGTCATTCATTTAAAATGCTATTAGGTTGGTGCAAAAGTGATTGTGGATTTTGCCATTAAAAGTAATTTATAAATTACTGACATTAAAAGTAAATTTGTGAAATTAAAAGTAATGGCAAAAATCACAATTACTTTTGCACCAACCTATGACCTAATGTACTCACATCAATTGCCCAGGTGGTTTAGTTCGAAGAATGGAACCAAAAACTTCTGTTACTTAATAGGAGAATTTTATATTTTTCTACTTCTCATTGTACCTTAAGATCAGTGGAGAATTAATCCTTCCAGGAGCTTTTTTTTTTACCCTAAAAATTAATACATCTATGAGGAAGAAAATACCAAATGCAGACACATCGTTCCTCTGAAAGCTGTTGAAGTAAACCCGCTTGTGTACCCAGCACCCGCGCCGAGTATTTCAGTGAGGACTGTAGCAATTGTGGCAGTTGCTGTGCTCAGTGCTTAGTGAGCCACAGGCTCCTTGGAAAAGACCCCAGGCCATCATTCTGGGGACCTGGGATCCAATTCACAATGAAATTATCGTGTGACTTTGCCCTAATTGCTTATTACCCCTTTTCTTGTTTCTCAATCATCTGTAGATAAGGATCTATTTATATCCATAATAAGATTATATCTGGGGCCAGCTGCAGTAGCTTATGCCTGTAATCCCAACATTTTTTCTCCTGCCTCAGCCTCCCAAGTAGCTGGGATCACAGGCACCCACCGCGCCTGGCTAATTTTTGCATTTTTAGTAAAGATGGGGTTTCACCATGGTGGCCAGGGTGTCAAGGGTGGTCTCAAACTCCTGACCTCAAGAGATCTGCCCGCCTTAGCCTCCCAAAGTGTTAGGATTACAGCCGTGAGCCACCGCACCCAGTCCTATAAGGTCTTCAAGTAAGCTGTGCTCTAGGTTTACATAGCAGACATTTAGTCTATAAACCTCATATGATACTTCCCTTTAAAAAATAACTATTAAGTTATTTTAGACATATGAAAAGATATAGTGAATGAGCCCACTTGCTCATCAGTATGCCTAAAAAATAAAATATTACATGTACACTGAAGTCCTCTAATTAACTTTCCCCAATTTTATTACCTACGTAACACTCACTATCCTGAACTTTCCATTTCAACTTACATTTTAAAATTTATTGACTTAAATGCAGTCACTTCTTATTTCCTAAAATCACAGTGTATCTAAAGGTGTATCCCCTTTTGTATTACAGTATAATTTTTTGTCTCATTGACAGCAAAGGTTTTTCTTTTTTAGTTATTTTGTTCAAGAAAAAGCTTTTGGCTTTGCTGATTCTCTCTGATTTTTTTTTTAAATTCAGTCTTGTGGGGGCACAATTTAAATAAGGTAAAATTTACTCTTTTTAGGTATACAGTTCAATGACTTTTGACAAATGTATAATCAGGCAACCACCCCACAACTAAAATATAGAACATCTTCATCACCCCTAAATTTCTCTAGTACCCTCTTTGCAAGCAATCTCCTCTCCCAGCTCCCATCCCTTAACAACCAATGATTGATTTCTGATTTCTCTTCCTAAAGTTTTGCCCTTTTCGGAATATCATATAAATTGAAATATGTAGTATGTAGTTTGTTTTGTGTCTAACCTCTTTCAGTTAGTACAATGTCTTTGAAATTTATTCATGTAGTTTTATCAATAATTTGTTCCTTTATTGCTGGAATGGAATGAAAATTACAATGGAATTGTAATATCCCATCGTATGGGTATATCATAGTTTGTTATCCATTCACCAGTTCATGAACTCACTTGTTTCTGTTGGGAAGCTATTATGAATAACTCTACTATAAATACTCACATTTGAGTCTTTTTCTTATATATATTTTTATATTACTCATTTCTACTCGTGTATGTATCATTTATTTCTTTCTAATTTCTTGGGGTTTGTATTTATTATCTATTGTTGTGTAACAAGTTACTCCCTAATTTTTTGCTGAATATAAGAGCTGTTTATTATCTTATGATTTCTGTGGGTCAGGAATCCAGAAGTGGATCTGGCTTGGGGTCTCCCACAGGCTACAATCTAGGTTTTGTCCAAGGCTACAGTTATCTTGAGGCTGAACTGGAGAAGATCCACTTCTAAGATCACTCACATGGCTATTGGCAGATCTCAGAAGATATGATTTCAAGCTTACTCACATGGCTTCTGGCAGGCCTCAGAAGATCTGCTTCCAACCTTACTCATGTGGCTATTCCCAGGGCTCAGGTACTCCGTGGCTATTGGCCAGAGACATCAGTTTCTTGCTACATGAATTCTTTCACAGGCATGCTCATAAGATGGCAGCTTTCTTCTCCCAGAGGAGAGAATCCAAGAAAGAAATACAGCAAGAAGAAGCTTCCCACATAGAAGACACCATTTTTTATAAGCTAATCTCAAAAATGACATTCCATCACTTCTGCCATATTTTATTCCTTAGTAGTGAGTCACTAAATCAAGCCCACACTCAATGGGAGGGTATTATTGTGCACAATAACAAATACCAGAGGCAGGGAATCATGTGAGCCATCTCACAGGCTGCCTACCACATTCAGCCCTCTGGTCCTCAGTGATTCACATCCCTTCCACACGCAAAATACACTTGCCCCTCCTAAAGGCCCCTAAAAATCTCATTCTGGTACAGCATCAGCCCAGATTCCAAACTCTCATTCTCTAAATCAGTAGTTCAGGTGCAGATGAGGCTCCCTGGGAGCAGCTCTTTAAATACAACTCCTGAGTCCAGGTCTCTTTACCATGAGACTGAAGAGACATGCTATCTGCACCAACACAACAAACATAAAATGGTAGGACAGGTATAAGATAAATGCTATAGACATGCCTGTGTTCAAACAGGAGAAAATTGGGAGGCACAAGGGAGTTATTGACCCATGGCAAGTCTATAACTGTATTAGGCCCTTCTTGTGTTGCTGTGAAGAAATACCTGAGGCTGTGTAATTTATAAAGAAGAGGTTTAATTGGCTCGTGGTTCTGCAGGCTGTATGGAAAGCATAGTGCCAGCTTCTGCTTCTGGTGAGGGCCTCAGGAAGCTTACAATCATGGTGGAAGGCAAAGGGGAGCCAGCACATTGCTTGGGGAGAGCAGGAGCAAGAGAGTGATTGGGGGAGGTCCTAGACTTTTAAACAACCATATCTCTAGTGAACTAACTGAGTGAGAACTCACTTATCACCAAAGGGATGGTGCTAAGCCATTTCTGAGGAATCTGCCCTCGTGATCCAATATGTCCCACCAAGCCCCACCTCCAACATTGGGAATCACATTTCAGCATGAGACAAACATCCAAATGACGTCGATAGCACAACAATCATTTATAAATTTTCCCTCAATACTATTTTAGCCACATTCCATATACTTTGATATACGTTGCCATTATTTATTTTTAGGTAGTTTCTAATTTCCTTGTAATCCACAAGTTATTTATTAATATATTTTTAAGACTTTAATATATGGAAAGATTGGCAGCATTTTTTTACTGGTTTGTAGTATAATTTTATAGTGATCATCGTGTATATTTAGTATGAAACTGATACTTTTCATCACTTGGGACTTTATTTGCTTATATATGGTTAATTTTTTCCTAAATGTTTATATTTTTTACATGGTTCAAATATATTGCTTATATTCTATAAATTAACCTTATTAATTTTAAAGCAGCATAATCAATTGCTGAGTGAGATCAAGCAAATCTCCTGCTATTGTCTTTTTCTCACTGCAGTTTTATTTTTTGTTTTATATATGTTGACGCTATGTTATTGGGTACATACAAATTTAAGATTGTTGAGTGGTGAATTATACTGATTTATTTTCAAATGTTAAACCAGATTGCATTCCTGGAATAAACCCAACGAGGTCATTATGTATTATCTTTTTCATATATCACCTGATTTTGATTTGTGAGTATTTAACTAAAACTTTTGCATCTATTTTTGAAAGACTGGACTGTAAATATCCTTCTTACAGTGTTCTTAAAATGTTTGGGGATCAATATGAGACCTCATAAAGTGATTTGGAAATATTTCCTTTTTTTATTGACTTGAAGAATTGTGTAAATTTTCCTATGATAGGCTTTCGTGAATTTTTAAAAATTTATTTATTTTAATTGACAAATATAAATTGGACATATTATTTATGGTACACAAAATGCTGTCTTGGAATGTGTATACATCATGAAATGGTTATATCAAGCTAATTAACATGTGCATCACCTCATATACCTGTACTTATCAGTTGTTTTTGGTGAGAACACTTAGAATCTACTCTCACAGCAATTTCCCAGTATACAATACACTATTATTAACTATAATCATCATGTTGTACAATAGATCTCTTGAATTTATACTTTCTAACGGAAATTATTGTATCCTTTGACTAACGTTTCCCAATCTCCCCAATTCCCCAAGTGAAGTTTTTCTTGTCATGGTTGATTTGTTGCTTTTTGTATATGTGGTAGGCAGAATTCTAAGAATGACCCTAAATGACCCTCAGCCTTGTATAATCCCCTCCCCTTTGAGTACGGACAGAACCTGGGACTGAGAGCTATCACTCTGAGTTTATTTGGGTGAGCCTAATTTAATCACATAAGCTCTTCAAAAGCTAAGAGTTTTCTCTGGCTGGTTGCAGAAGCAATCACAGATATTCAAAACATGAGAAGGACTGAACACACCACTGCTGGCTTAAAGATGGAGGGAACCAAGTAGTGGGGAATGGGGGGGCCCGAGAGACTGAGTGTGGCAACCACATACCACCCAGCAAGGAAACAGGGATCTCAGTCCTACAAGCACAAGGAAATGAATTCTGCCAACAATCAGTGAGCTTGGAAGAGAACTCCAGACCCCAGAGGAAACCCTTAGCCCCTGCTGACTCCTTGATTTCAAACTGGTGAGACACTAAGCAGAGAATCCAGCCACACCATGCTAGACTGCTGACCTACAGAACTGTGAGCTAATAAATGGATGTTACTTTAGGCCATCATTGTGGTAATTTGTTACACAGCAATAGAAATCCAAAGCAGTAGACATTCAGCTTTGGATCTGTAGCATTTATTAAATCTTAAGCTGTTTTTTGTCACATTGGGACAATTCTCTGCCATCATCCCTTTAAATACTGTTTCTGGGCCATTCCATCTTCTCTCTCCTTCTGGGACTACATATATGTGTGTGCATTTGTGTGTGTTTGTGTGTGTGTGTCTTGTCTCAGCAAGCCTTGTGTCTGTATTTCCATGTATGCCTTATGTTCTTTTCAGTATTCTCCATCTTTTTCTACATATATTTAAGTCTGGACTTTTTTAACCCCATATTAAAATTTAGCCATTCTCTTTTCAGCTGATCTATATGTTCTTAAATCTGTCCACTGAGCTTTTAATTTCAATGATCGCATGTTTCAGTTCTGTAACTTCCATTTGATCATATTTATAGTTTCCAGCCAGTTCTCTACCAAAATAATTCATCTTGTCCCTTAATTCCTTAAGCATATTAATCAAACTTATTTTGGGGGGGGGTAAACACTCAGTTTTTGTTTATTTAAAAGTGTTTATCTTTTGTTTAATTTAAATAAGAGCTGTCCTGGTTATAGAATTCTTGCTTGTTTTTTCCTTTCACACTTGAGCATTTCCTTTCAGTTTCTTCTGGCTCCCATAGTTTTTTTTTTCTTTTTTATTGCATTTTAGGTTTTGGGGTACATGTGATGAACATGCAAGATTGTTGCATAGGTACACACTTGGCAGTGTGGTTTGCTGCCTTCCGTCCCCTCACCTGTATCTGTCATTTCTCCCCATGCTATCTCTTCCCACCTCCCCACCCCCCGCCCCTCCCCCATTTCCCCCCAACGGACCCCAGTGTGTAGTGCTCCCCTCCCTGTGTCCATGTGTTCTCATTGTTCAACACCCACCTATGAGTGAGAATATACGGTGTTTGATTAATCAAACTTATTTTAAAGCTCATAACTGACAACTCCCTTATCTGAACTTCCTGTGAATCTGTTTTTATTGTTCAATTTTTCTTTTGGTTTTTGGTCAAGTCTTGTCTTCTCTTATAACCAATTATTTTTGACTGAGTGCTATGCATTGTTTGTGAATAATTATTGAGATTTACTTATTCCTCTGGTGGGAGAACTAACCAAGATGGTCTATATTTTTGTTTAATTTTACTTTCTGAGTAAAATGTTCCCAAGCCTGGGATTTTTCCAGATATCTTCCTATTTGCCTTTTTTTTTTTTTTTTTTTTTTGGTGGAGATGGGGTTTTGCCATGTTGCCCAGGCTGGTCTTGAACTCCTGAGCTCAAGCAATCCACGTGCCACAGCCTCCCAAACCTATTTGTCCTTAAATTTCACTTTCATTTCATTCTTCAGCACTTTGACTTTCCAAAGTTGCTGCATGCTTTCTTTATCTTTTAGCTGCTGTGGTTGAAATCAGCAAATAACTCATGGGGAACAGCAATACACAATCACTTCTCCAGAATTTCTTTATCTCCTGTATCTTGACAGCACAAGTCAGGATTGTCCACTTGTCTAGTTGTTCTCAGTGAAAGAGTTTGTCCAAAGCAACTTCCCCTCCTTTTGTTGGCAGTAGTGTTTGCAATAGGAAAATCTGGAAACAATCCAAATGTCTATGAAGAGTAGACTGTGTAAATATGTTACAGTATGTCCATACAACATAACATTTTATAACAGTGAAAATTCGAGAACTATAGTTACACTTGTCAATATCTATAATCTGAAAAGTGTAATGTTGCATGGAAAAAACAATTCATAGGAGAATACTTATATATAATTCCATTTAACAGGCAAAACTAAACAGGCAAAGCTACACGATAAATGAGTAAAATATAAGATAAAAGAAGGGAATTATTATCATAAAATGTACTGTATCTGCATCTTAGGATGGAAGAGTTATATAATTCAGGAGAGACTTATCCAGGATATTATAAAGGCCTGGAGATTGCCTGTTTCTTAAGCTAGCTAGTGGATATATAGTAGTTAATTTCCTTTTTATTATGATCAACTTTCCATATAAGTTATACTATTCTATGTATAACATATTCCCCAATAAGAAAGTGAATTTAAAACAAAGAAGCAAAAGGAAATTACCTAAAAATGATGAACCTATAAATTAAGAAGCAAAGCAATCCTATATTAAATCCTGAAAAAAGACTAAGTCATGAGCTACAAAAATCCAAAGAAACATGGTATATCCCTATCCCCACACTTTTCAATATTAATTTCTACCACCCATTGCAATGTCAGGAAAATTAACATCTTATACACTTTGTACAAAAAAATACGGAGTTATTGTGGTTTGCAGGTATGATTGTAAACCCCCCAAAAACTCCAGTGACTTTATCAAAAACTCCTAGAATCTAATAAACAAGTATATTGAGATGACTGGAGTCATTTTAAAGACAAATGGCATTGATTCTCTGTATCCACTTTAAAATAGAATTTAAAATTTTGATATAATGCAATAAATCTATAAAATGACTAGTAATACAGTTAATAAATTAGAATATTTCTATGAGGAACACTATGAAGAATTACTGGACAAAAATAAGATAATAAATGGAATAATATATTCTTGGAAGGAAAAATTGAATCTCATTAAAAAGTCAGTTCTTCCTAAATCAATATATAAATGTAATCCATTTCTGATTGTTTTTACAATTAAGGATATGAATAAGAGCATATATATAAGGGTATTAATAAAAGAATTATATATACTTCTTTTATGTGCAGAATTAGAAATACTCTAATGTCCAACAATAGGGGATTTGTTAAGTAAGTTTCTTATACAGATTTTTGATTTGATATTTTTGAAGTCATTTTATTTGGGGAAATACTTTATGATGTAGGAAATTTGTCACAACATTAGGCTAAATAACTAGACGAAAATATATACAGAACTCAGAATTAACTGAAAGAAAATATATAAATATCTAACAGTCATTATCTTTGGGTTTTGGTGGTGATAGACAACTTTTAAAATGTTCTTCTGGCTGGGCACAGTGGCTCATGCCTGTAATCCCAGCATTTTGAGAGGCCAAGGTGGTAGGATCACTTGAGCCATGGCAAAATCTTGTCTCTACTAAAATTACAAAATTTGGCTGGGCGTTGGGGTGCAAACCTGTAGTCCCAGCTACTCAGGAGGCTGAGGAGGGAGGATCACTTAAGCTAGGGAGGCAGAGGTTGCAGTGAGCCGAGATTGAGCCACTGCACTCCAGCCTAGGTGATGGAGTGAGAACTTGTCTCAAAAAAAAAAAAGAAAAAAAAAAAGAAAAAAGCTCTTCTGTGCTTTTTCACGTTTTTTACAATGAGTGTATGTTACTCAAAAAGCTCTTCTGTACTTTTTCACATTTTTTACAATGAGTGTATGTTACTCTTAAAATCAGGGAAGTGATCAATATTATTTAAAGAAGAAAATAGGACTGGACACAGTGGTTCACACCTATAATCCTAGCACTTTGAAAGGCCGAGGCAGATGAATCACCTGAGGTCAGGAGTTCGAGACCAGCCTGGCCAACGTGGTGAAACCCTGTCTTTACTAAAAATATGAAAATTAGCCAGACATGGTGACGGGCACCTGTAATCCCAGCTACTTGGGAGGCTGAGGCAGGAGAACGGCTTCAACCTGGGAGGCGGAGGTTACAGTGAGCTGAGACCATACCATTGCAACCCAGCCTGGGTGACAAGAGTGAAACTCCATCTCAAAAAATAAAAAATAAATTAGTAAAGAAAGAAAGAAGAAAATAGGTATGTCCCGCTCTGAGAAGAAAGTATTTACCCCAGTATATGAACGTCTCTGTGTGTTTGTATTTCTTCCACTCATACTTGTGTCATTGTGTTCCTACACAAGGTACTGATGGGCATGCCCTATGGGAGTATTCCCAGAAAGACAGTGCCTCGGGCTGAAGAAGAAAAGGCCATGGATTTTTCTGTCCTTTGGGATTTTGAGGTACTATTGTCAACATGCCAACGAACTTCCATTGGTGATTATGAAGCCTAAAGATTGCATGGATAAGTATGAAATAGCGCATCTAATTATTGAAAATCCATTGCTTTAATAAAATAGGATCCCAGCACTAAGCTAAATGAACTTGCAAACCACGTCTCTGCACAGACCTCCCAGGTCTCCTTCATGGGCTGCTCTCTCCAGCCACACTCTTGATGTATGTGGGCTTTCCATGCGGCCACTGCACCTCTCCGTCTGCCAGCTCTCTATACGGTTTTCTTTATAACATACTTATAAAACAACTTATAAAACATACTTATAAAAACAGTATGGTTTTCTTTCCTCGTTCCCACATTAAGACCCCCAGATCTATCTCCACTCCAGGCTTCCCCCAAGTTTCACATGATATCGTCAACTGAATGTCTCACTTGCTCTTCAAATTCAACACATGCAGCCAAAACCCACATCACTTTTCCCTATTTCCTTTATTGGAATCTCCATTCATCCAGTCAGCCACGTCTAAAGGCTGAAAGTCATCCCACACTTCTCCCTCTTCCTTACCAACCATCCCCCACTGCCATCCAATTGACCACTAAATCTGAGCCTACCTACTAAATATTTCTTGAATCTTTTGTGAACCCAGTTGTATTAGTTCGTTTTCACACTACTACCTGAGACTGGGTAATTTATAAATAAAGGGGTTTAATTGGCACACAGTTCCGCATGGCTGGGGAGGCCTCAGGAAACTTGCAATCATGGTGAAAGATAAAAGGGAAGCAAGGCACTTCTTACATGGCAGCAGGAGAGAGAGAGCTCAGGGGAAATGCCAGACACTTATCAGAACAACCAGATCTCCAGAGAACTCCCTCACTGTCATGAGAACAGCATGGGGTGAACAGCCCCCATAATCCAATCACCTCCCACCAGGTCCCTCCCTGAACACCTGGGGATTACAATTTGAGATGAGATTTGGGTGGGGACACAGAGCCAAACCATATCACCAATAAGGAACATTGGCTTTTATTCCATTTGGGAATGGGAATCAATGGATATCTGAGGAGGCAGAAAATCAGTGAATATCTGGGGTCCGTAAGAAAAAGCCATGGAGTTTTTCATCCTTTGAGATTTCAAGGTGCTATTGCCAACATACCAAAGCCCCTCCACTTGTAATTGTAAGGCCTAAAGATTACAGGTGTAAGTGTGAAACAGTGGACTTAATTATTGAAAAACCAGTGCTGGCTGGGCCTGGGAGCTCATGCCTGTAATCCCAGCACTTTGGGAGGTCTAAGCAGGCGGCTCACGATGTCAGGAGCTCAAGACCAGCCTGGCTAACATAGTGAAACCTTTTCTCTACTAAAAATACAAAAATAAGCCGGGCATGGTGGTGCACGTCTGTAGTCCCAGCTACTCGGGAGGCTGAGGCAAGAGAATCGCCTGAACCCAGGAGGTGGAGGTTGTAGTGAGCCGAGATCGTGCCACTGCACTTCAGCCCAGGCAACAGAGCAAGACTCCAACTCAAAAAAAAAAGAAAGAAAGAAAGAAAGAAAGAAAGAAAGAAAGAAAGAAAGAAAGAAAGAAAGAAAGAAAGAAAGAAAGAAAGAAAGAAAGAAAGAAAGAAAAAGAAAAACCAGTGCTTTAACCAAATAGGATCCCATCATTAGGCAAAATGCTTTTTTCCGTGTCTTTTACTTTTGCCTTGAATAATGCCCTCACTTTACCGAAACTACTGTCAGAATCATCTACTTCGCCTCTCTGCTTTGGCTTGGCTCCTGAAATTTCCATTCCCTTGGCTGCTGGAGTGATCTTTATAAAACGCAAATTTGATCCTGTCACTCTCCTACCTCAGATTTTCATTGATTCTCATTCCCGGTGGAATAAAAGTCAGTGTTCTTAACTGGGTTTAGAAAAGAACTGTTCCTGACCCCGCTGCTCCCTACTCTCCAGTTCCATGTGCATCTAATACCTCGCACTTTAGTGCCCAATGCCACCGAGCTCTGGGGAAGTCCCGGCATGCATTACACACCACACCATCATTGCCTCTCTGCCTTTGCTTATGGCCTTTTGCCTGGAACTCTCTTCCCTCTTTTGTGAGCTTCACAACCCCATGCCTCTGGAGGAAGCTCCAAGGGCTTGCTAAGGCTGGGAGGCATGGTCGTAGTGCCGCCCACAGTAAGTCATCGTCGCTGCCATCCTTCACTCTCAAAGTCAGAATCGAGACCCTTCAGAAAGTTATTTGGAACAGGGCTTCCCAACTATACTGCTACTAAGGATTTCTTTATTCTTCCTTTTTCTTTTTTCTGGTTTTTGTTTTGTTTTGTTTTGTTTTTGTTTTTTAGACAGTCTCCCTCTGTTGCCCAGGTTGGAGTGCAGAGGCATGATCTCTGGTCACTGCAACCTCCATCTCCCAGGTTAAAGCGATTCTCCTGCCTAAGCCTCCTAAGTAGCTGGATTACAGGCTACTGTCATCACACTTGGCAAATTTTTGTATTTTAGTAGATATGGGGTTTCACCATGTTGGCCAGGCTGGTCTCGAACTCCTACCCTCAAGTGATCCACTTGCCTTGGCCTCCCAAAGTGCTGGGATTACAAGTGTGAGCCACTGCGCCTGGACCCTACCTTTTTTTTAATGCCAGGATTCCCTGTTGAAACATCCTATGTACCAAAAACAAACCCAATTTTTTCAACAATAATCCCTTATTTTTTATTTACAAAGACATATATAAAACGTTAACAATCTAAGTTAACATTTTCCTAATTACACCTAGAAAGTGTACTAATTACAGCTTAAAATGTACTAATTATAACTAAAGACAATAGCACATAAAATCCCAAAATAAAACAAAACAAAATTCAAAGTTCAAGTTAGCCTTATTGCATATAATTTTCTTCCGAGGTTTTGAAGTATTGAAAAAGCTCATAGACTGCTGTCTACTTCTGGAGTGTTAAATAAAGACCCTGGGGGTGGGGAAAGTAATTGGGAGCTATATGTGCATGTGCATGCATGCACATACATACACACACATACACACGCACACACATATACACATATGCACAGACATATGCACAGACATACACACATACGCACACACGCACAGGCACACATACATATGCACACACATACATACACACACACATACGCATTTCCCTAATTTTTTTTTTCTGTTTTTTTTTTTTCTTTTTTTCTTTTTTTTTGAGACAGAGTCTCACTCTGTCACCCAGGCTGGAGTACAGTGGCACAATCTCAGCTCACTGCAACCTCCGCCTCCTGGGTTCAAGTGATTCTCCTGCCTCAGCCTCCCGAGTAACTGGGATTACAGGCGCCCACCACCACACCTGGCTAATTTTTGTATTTTTAGTAGAGATGGGGTTTCACCACGTTGGCTGGCTTGGTCTTCAACTCCTGGCCTCAAGTGATCTGCCCACCTGAGCCTCCCAAACTCTGGGATTACAGGTGTGAGTCATCTCACCCAATCCCCTATCCCTAATCTTGTCCCAAATATTAGTAACACTCTCCTCTCCCTCCCATGTATCCACGCACTCTATGTAATGAAGAAATAGAGGAAATTAAGAAGAGAAAGAGGTGGAGGTGTGGAGGGGCCCTGGAGCCACTGGGGGAGGTGAAGGGAAGAACAAGAACATCTAGAACTCTTCCTTCGACCCCTTAGACTTGGTTAAGACTCTAAGGAAGAGATCCCTAGTAGAATGGGCGTGTCTGGTGACCACCAGCTCTGAGCTTAGCAACCCAGAGTGTTTGGTTTTGCTGTCCCCCAGGGCTATATCAAGTACTCTGCGCTCTTCTATGGCTACTACAACAACCAGAGGGCCATCGGGTGGCTGAGGTACCGGCTGCCCATGGCTTACTTTATGGTGGGGGTCAGCGTGTTTGGCTACAGCCTGATGATTGTCATTCGAGCGTAAGTATGACCGTCTCATCCACAGGCTTTGACTTCACACTCATGGCTCACTCCCCGAGCACTCTATGCCTGCCTCCCTTCTGGAGGGGCATTCAGAGAGAAAACAAGGAAATGAATGCAAAAAGCATGTGCACATTGTAATTTGTGGTATGAAAGTCATGAACCAGGTCGTGTGGGCTGTTCAGGGAAATGGGATAGAAAATCTTTTAGATAAGGGTGAGAACACCAGCCATGCTGATATTCTGGGGAGCAGCATTTTAAACAAAAGAAGAGCATGTGCAAAGGCCCTGAGGCAGCCAACAGCTTGGTGTGTTCCCCAAAACTGCCAAAGGCCAGTGTGGCATGAGAGCGAACATGATACCTGGTAGCATAAGGTAGGGCTAGAGGTCTGTCAGGCACTGTCTATCCACCTGGATACACTCTTCTATCCACACAACCTATCCACTTGGGCCCACTCTCCCTTCAGCACAGACATGAAGAGTGTGGGTGGCTGTGTCTCCGTCTCCAGGAGAGGAGTGGCGCACTTTTGAAGCCTGGGTAGAGCCCCTGAGCCAGCAATGGGGACACGGGGCTTGGCTTTCTATCACGTGGTCTCAGGCAGAAATGCTGCCATTCACAAGACCCTGCCAGCACTCGACAGTGACCACTGGGTGATCTCCGACTGCACAGTACCATCAGGCAAAAGGAAAAGAGCAAGGAGACAGGCTTGGTTTGATTCTCAGCCCTCATGTTGCTACTTTTTCCCTGCTCTCATCCCGGCTAAGTACAGTAATACAGAATGTTTTCGTGACAACCAAAGAAGCTAGCTAAGCCCTGTGGAACGGCAAATCCAGAAAGCCAACATGTAGCACAGAGTTAGGGAGGATGACAAACCCCTCATAGTCTCTGATAGAGCCCCTGCTTGGAACTCTGTGATTCCCACAGGGTCCAACTCCAGGGAGCATAGGTTGAAGACAGGTAGGATGAAACAGGAAGGTCCAAGTTGCCTTCAGCCAAGCTCACTTAAGAAAAGGATGTATGGGCCGGGTGTGGCGGCTCACGCCTGTAATCCCAGCACTTTGGGAGGCCGAGGCGGGTGGATCACAAGGTCAAGAGATCGAGACCATCCTGGTCAATGTGTTGAAACCCTGTCTCTACTAAAAATGCAAAAAATTAGCTGGGCATGGTGGCGTGAGCCTGTAATCCCAGCTACTCAGGAGGCTGAGGCAGGAGAATTGCCTGAACCCAGGAGGCGGAGGTTGCGGTGAGCAGAGATTGCGCCATTGCACTCCAGCCTGGGTAACAAGAATGAAACTCCATCTCAAGAAGAAAAAAAAGAAAGAAAGAAAAGGATGTATGACCTGATTGTGTTAGGTTGGTGCAAAAGTACTTGCTGGCTTTTCAACTGAAAGTAGTACCAGGCTGGGAATGGTGGCTCATGCCTGTAATCCCAGCATTTTGGGAGACCAAGGCAGGCAGATCACCTGAGGTCAGGAGTTCGAGACCAGCTTGGCCAACATGGTAAAACCCTGTCTCTACTAAAAATACAAAAAATTAGTCGGCATCGTGGTAGGTGCTTGTAATCCCAGCTACTCAAAAGGCTGAGGCAGGAGAATGGCTTGAACCCTAGAGGCGGAGGCTGCAGCGAGCCAAGATCACACCACTGCACTCCAGACTAGACGATGGAGGGAGACTCTCTTACAAAAAAACAAAAGTAGCACTAACCACCTCAGTGTGTTTTGTGTTTTATACCAGAAAAAAAATATGTTCTATCCAAGAAAATAGATGACTTAGAAGATGTTCCTGTGTGAGAATAGACTCCCTGTAAAGAGTTCTCCAACTGCATTTGCGGATGAGTCAAGCCACAGGAAGTTGGTGTAGGGGAAAAAACATGGTCACATGTCCTGTGTCCTACAGGCTTTTTGTTACCTAACTGACAGCATGTGTGCTTGCAGGGGACTCTGAATTTGGGGGTAAAGGTGTCCTGGCTGTCCTCAAAGCTGTCTTGGCCCATGTCCCTGCCGGGCTTATTTCATCACTGAATGTCACTTACCTGTTCATCTATTACCTGTGTCCAAGACCGGCTTAGGCCAACGTTCCCTGGGGGTGACACAGCAGAAAGAGGGCAGATATCACAACGGCGCCATGTGCCCTATAGGATGGCCAGCAATACCCAAGGAAGCACAGGCGAAGGAGAGAGTGACAACTTCACATTCAGCTTCAAGATGTTCACCAGCTGGGACTACCTGATCGGGAATTCAGAGACGGCCGACAACAAGTATGCCTCCATCACCACCAGCTTCAAGGTAGTTACCCCAGGGCAGTCCCCACTTCCGGGGGAACTCTGGGTCCCTCTGGTCATTGAAAGACTTCTCCCAGCTGGGACATAAGAAATAAGGTCTTCAAGAGCTTTCCCAGAAATGTGAGCCCAGCTTTCAAGCCCTTAAGCAAGAATGCTTGCGGCTGATGCCCACTGTCTGTTTTTTCTTTCTTTGTTTCTTTCTTTTGTGATAGGGTCTCTTTCCCATTGCCCAGGCTGGAGTACAGTAGCATTCTCTCAGCTGACTACAATCTCTAGCTCCTGGGCTCCAGGGATCCTCCTGCCTCAGCCTCCCACATAGCTGGCACTACAGGTGCCCACCACCACACCATTTTGTTTGTATTTTTAGTAGAGATGGGGTTTCACCATGGTGACCAGGCTGGTCTTGAACTCCTGGCCTCAAGTGATCCACTCTTCTCTACCTCCCAAAGTGCTAGGATTACAGACATGAGCCACCGCATCCAGCTTGTCTGTTTTTTAATATGACAGAGTATACTGGCTGCTGAGACCTGGTCCTGCCTGTTTCCACATGAAACACCTTTCTGCTGGAGGAAGTGGAAGGATTCATTTTGGGAAAATATTTCTCAACCTTTTCTGCATACTAGAATCACCTGAGGAGCGTAAAAGATCTCCTGGGACCCACTAACGGAGACTCTCATATAACTGGTCTGGAGTGGGGTCCTGACATTGGTTTTTCAAAAGCTCCCAAGTTATTAGAATACCCAGAAAGAGTTGAGAACCCTGGTTTGGGGGGTGTGGAAATAAAGAAATCAACCCAGTGGCTGCACCAAAATCTCAGAAATTATCACTAAAAAACTTATTCATGTAACCAAACACTACCTGTTCCCCAGAAAGCTTTTGTAACGTGGGTAATCACAGTAACTATTCTACTGGTTTGTTGCTGAAATTAAGAGGAACAGCGCATGGAAAGTCCCACATCTGGCACATGGTGACTATTCAAGAAATCTCCGTTTTTCTTATATGTACTGGAATAGAAATAACAACAAATATATTTTTCTAAAGAAAATAAATCTTCATAGGGTACAGGGCATCACATCACCTCCTCTGTATTATTTCATTTCTAGAAATGTAGAAAGTACTATTTTTAGAACCAACAGCCACAGTGCTGGTATTTCTGGCCTGACATTTACACACATCTCATTTTCACACTTTAAGGAATCAATAGTGGATGAACAAGAGAGTAACAAAGAAGAAAATATCCATCTGACAAGATTTCTTCGTGTCCTGGCCAACTTCCTCATCATCTGCTGTTTGTGTGGAAGTGGGTACCTTATTTACTTTGTGGTGAAGCGATCCCAGCAATTCTCCAAAATGCAGAATGTTAGCTGGTACGAAAGGAATGAGGTAAGAAGGACATCTCTGATGAAGTGAAGGTTGAGGGCAAAGACTGAAATCACTGGTTCCTATGCCATTCATTTGATTTATTGAAAGTCTGGATTATAGATTTGTTTTAATAAGTGAAATTACATCCCTTTCCAGTCAAATAATGTGATTATCCTGAACAAAAAGTCACCTGTTATTAGGTTTTGTGGGCTGGCTTTTACAACTAGAAAAACTGTGTTAGCAACTGGATAGCCAACTGTGCAACACCAATTACTAACAAGGTGATCCTTTGCTCACGGCTTTGCAATGCCATACATCATAAATCAAGTGTTTATTAATGCACAGGTGTGATTATGGGCTCTCTTTTCTATTCCTGTTTGTCTATTTCTGCAAAAATAGCAAACTAATATACTACGCATTTACAGTATGTTTTAGTATCTGTTAGAGTGAGTTTTCTCATCAAGCTCCACAATAAAACACATTAAGGTTTTCTTGTGATAACACAGAATCCATAAATCTCTTTTGGGAATTTGACATCTGTGGTCATTGGTGAAAATGGCTACAAATTCTTCCTATTCTCGTATGCACATCCCTTTGCTTTCTTTTGCACATTCCTGAAGAGGTAGAATCTGTGTCCCCCAGTCTAGCTTAGCTTGGTCATGTGACTTGCGTTAGCCAGTGGAACAATAGCAACCATGAAACATGCAGAGATTTGAAAAGTGCTTGTGCACTAAGACTTGCTCTTTTACTGCTTTGGGGAACCCTGAGACCTCCACCATGTGAATAATCTCTGGCTAGCCTCCTGAATGATGAGACACCATGGTCCACCCTAGCCGGTAGCCAGTTAACCAGCAGACATTTCAATGGAGCTGTCAGCCATCAGCAGGTGAGGCCAGCAGAAGAATCACCCAGTTAAGCCCAGTTTTAAAAAAAAAATGCTGCCCCACAGAATCATGAGCTAAATAAATTCATAGTAAGAGTCTATCTTGCATTCAAACTGCAATTAAAAAAAATGGGAGTCTATCTTCCCCCAATAAAGCAAGAAAGGATATAAAAATGAAATACGGAATTGAGGGGACAGATATAAAGCGCAAAATTTGATTTAAATCTAAGTCAGTGATTCTAATAGATGTAAATGGATTTGATAGCACAGTTTGAAGACAATAAGAATTAGATCAAAAACTGTTAAAGCTATATGCTATTTATAATTAACTCATCTAAACCATCGGGACACAGAAAGGTTTAAAATAAAATGGGGTCAGTAGTTTCTGCTAACGGTAGCCTAGGTTATTTGGATCAAGTAACCAATTGAAAGCACTAAAAATGCTGGTTTAAAGAAAAAGCATACTTTGAAAAACATTGAGGACCTGAAAACACACTGAGAGACGCCCCAAGACCAATTTTAAGTGAAAGCCTGTGACTAGAACTAGAAGAGGAGTATCAGTGCCAAGTCTCTTATGCTCTGAAGGCAACTGCTGACTCTTCAAACACCTGTACCTGTTCCATCCCACTAGGGCCAATGTCTTAGCCTGTGTTATGTTCATTAGGTTCCTGTGTTGTGTTTATTAGCCTTGATGTGCTGTGCTGACTCTGTCCTAAGGTGGGACATTTCGCAATAGCCAATTAGCAATTCTTGAATTCCCAGTTTATTTTGAGGCCTTCACACACCATCAGCCACTCCACTAATATTCAACACACAGGCGGTAATAAAAGAGAGGTAACAAACCACAACGATGGTTCCAGAGACCAACACATCAACAGATGAGCCAAGGGGGTCCAGAAGTCGTTTAGGCCCTGGCCAGCAGAAGCGGGGATCACTGTTTCTCTCTTGCAGAACTTCCAGCAGCTGCTGCCAAAATCAGGAGAACGTTCCACAGCTCTCTCATGGGCAGAGCCTCCATAGGCCTTTTGCACAAGACCAGGTCCTGGCTGCTTTTATGATCCTCCCAGATGGGTCTGTTCTCTTTATCTCAGCCAACCTTTCACACTCTATCAGTTCATTTCAGGAAATACTAGGCAGCAGCCGGCATTATCATATCATCTCAGTTCATTATATATAGATGCATATCACTTTGAGAGAGGGTGGAACAACTTCATTATGGGCTTCATGCTTTTTGACATGAGTGACTCCATTTTGAGACATTAGGATCACAAGTTATTATGATATATCAGTTTGCTAGGGCTGCAATATTAATACGTATTTCTTATTATATATTGGTCTTCTTCCAATTTCTGACACACGGCCCCTAAAAACCTTGGAATCTCTAAAGTAATCAGTGCTTTTTTGTATGCCAGTAAGATGACTGGTGGCTGGAAGCTCCTGGATAACCTCCGAATGGGAGCTGGTTGCCAGGGGAACCAGCCAGTGATTAGAAAATTGGAGGTGGCCGGGCGCGGTGGCTCAAGCCTGTAATCCCAGCACTTTGGGAGGCCGAGGCGGGTGGATCACAAGGTCGAGAGATCGAGACCATCCTGGTCAACATGGTGAAACCCCGTCTCTACTAAAAAAATACAAAAAACTAGCTGGGCGTGGTGGCGCGTGCCTGTAATCCCAGCTACTCAGGAGGCTGAGGCAGGAGAATTGCCTGAACCCAGGAGGCGGAGGTTGCGGTGAGCCGAGATCGCACCATTGCACTCCAGCCTGGAAAGAGCGAAACTCCATCTCAAAAAAAAAAGAAAATTGGAGGTGAGCCTTATCCCCTCACCTTCAAGGAGGGGAGTGTTTGAAGACCTTCTGGGTTGCTGAACACATGGAGTGTGGCTAACCCAGAAGGCATGGAAGCTCCAAGCACCTTGCCAGTAACTCGTCTTATGCATCTCTTCCATCTGGTTGTTTCTGAGTTATATTCTTTGAAATAAACAATCTAGTAATTAAACTGTTTTCCTAAATGATTTGATCACTTCAGCAAATGACCAAATCCAAGGAGGGGGTTGTGAGAATCTCTGCTTCAGAGCCAAATCGAACAGAAATTGCCAGTAACCTGGCGACCTAATAGTTGTAATTGGCATCCAAAGTAGGGGCAGCCTTGCGGGACTGAGACCTCCTCACCTGTGGAGTCTGTGCTTACTCTGGTTAGTATCCTAATTGAATTGAATTTTACACTGCTCAGCTGGTATCGGAAAATTGGTTGGTATGGGA